TTTCTATATACCTAGAATAATATATCATCTCATTTTGCCAATCACATTCCAAGGTCTTAAAGTCAGGGACCAAACTCGTTGTCAAAATCTAGTTGACAGCTGGTCACCCTGAAACTTGACTTGACAACAGATTCCCTGTTCCCAGCCCCACTCCTTTATCTTTCCCGCATTTCACCTGTAAGTTCAAGGCTACTTGGTTGCTTTTTAATATCCTCTAAGTTGCCCAGCTGCAAATCCACACTTCCTGAATCACTGTCAGAAGCACAAGGCATCACTACTTCTTCTTGACTACAGATCCTAGGAATGAAGAGGGGATTGGAAAAATTAGTTTTTCAGGACTGCTTCTGTCTCATCACTCAAGTGAAAGTTTAAATGTCCCCTTCTCAGAGAGGCATTTATTGATCACCAATCCAGATTAAGTACCCAGTCTCATATTTATTTCTTCATTGCATAGTATTTAATTATTACCTACAATTATCAAGTTCATATGTGTTTATTAACCATCTCCCATCAGACTATAAACTCCACAAGGGAAGAAATCTTGTCGACGTGATCACAGTTGCATATTTGATATGGACAGAGTAAAGGGACAGAGTAGGTGATTAAATAGGTAATCCCACTAAGGAATCATAAGTAATGGAAAAAGTATGGGAGACCCCTAAGTTAACAGTCACTCAAGAAAGCAGGTTTACTTACCACAAAACCAAGAACAAAGCTGAGCAACAAAACTGCAGCAGGGAACTTTCCTGGTGGTCCAGTGGTTAAGAATCCACCTTCCAATGCAGGGGATGCAGGTTCCATCCCTGGTCTGGGAACTAAGTTCCTATATGCTGCGGGGCAACTAAGCACATGGGTTGCAACTAGAGAAGCCCTTGCAACACAGCACGAGAAGCCCACTCACTGCAGCTAGAAGAGACCCCATGCATAGCAACTAAAGGAGAAGCCCACTCACTGCAGCTAGAAGAGACCCCATGCATAGCAACTAAAGGAGAAGCCCACTCACTGCAGCTAGAAGAGACCCCATGCATAGCAACTAAAGAAAGTTCACACCCTGCGGCGAAGATGCAGCACAGCCAAAAAAAAAAAAAAAAAAAAACACCACCCCCAGAAACCTGTGCGATAGAAGCATGAGGTATACCCAAGCACAATAAAACAATAGTGGAATGAGACCCATATCATGTTCAATGAGGTCAGTAAGTTAATAATTCCTATTTCATGCTCCTCTGCACACACTAAAAAAGGGATAAGGTGACATTATACTGAAACCTGAGATGATTTACCATTTATGGTGTTCGTTACCATCTTTTTGCTCATTTTCACTGTACCATGACATTCCCAGTTTGAACACGTAGAGATGAGAAAACTCCCCCACCTGATACAGAGGAGGAGAAGGAGGAGCTGATGATGGAAGCTTGATGTCCACTAAAGAATGAGGGAGAAGGTGGTCTTCTTCCCCTCCCCACATTTCCTTTGAGTATAAAACTGTAGGCCAGTAAGTTCTGAGCCCTGCACCCTCCTGCCTATCTGCTTGTAAACCTCACAAGCATCCTGTTCTAATAAATCACTTATCTATAACATTGTCTCTCAGTCAATTCTTTCTGTGTTGAGACATAAAGAACTGGGGCTCTTTGGAGCCCCTGAAACATATTTCTGTGGTTTCATCCTCAGTACCTAACATATTGTCAGCCTCATGAGAAGTGAATGGATAGGTAAGAGATACTACTCCACTGAGAAAAGAGACTGAGGCAGAACACCGCCCCTCTCTCAACCCCCTTTACCCTTTCCTACTTTTTTCTTCTTCTTATCACACAGCACCATCTATCATTCACTTATTAATGATATTTTTTATCATCATTATCCTTCTACTAAAATGTCTTGAATATTCATTGGAAGGACCGATGCTGAAGCTGAAGCTCCAATACTTTGGGCACCTGATGCGAAGAACTAACTCACTGGAAAAGACCCTGATGCTGGGAAAGACTGAAGGTAGAAGGAGGAGGAGGCAGAAGAGGGTGAGATGGTTAGATAGCATCACTGACTCAATGGAAATGAATTTAAGCAAACTCCAGGAAATAACAGAGGACAGGGGAGCCTGGCGTGCTGCAGTCCATGAGGTCGAAAAGAGTGGGACATGACTTAGGGACTGAAAAACAACAACAATAAACATGTAACTGAAATTTTAAAAGTGACTTCTTTTCTGAATTAGATAATAATTTTCAAACACAACACAAATATTTTCAAGTTTCTGTGCTATTTATAATGTAAAATCTACAGATGCGATATATTTTTAAGTTTAATCTCAATTAACATTATCTCCAACATTAAATTTACACAATAACAAAGCAATAAGTCAAGCCCTGGTTTGTAGCATTTGCTGACTCTATGGTATAAATATTCCATCTGCAGCCAAATAAAGCTACCAATGTTACTGGGAAGAGATGTGTAGTAAGCACAGCATGATATAATATTTCCACTATTCAGATACAGTAGATACAAGCTACCACAAAAGCACAGACCATGATAAAATAAAGGAAAATAATTAGGAAATGATGAATTTTGTTTTTAATATACTTTCATTTTAAGTATATATAATTTAATTCTTCTAATAGCTGTATTTAACAACCAATTTGCAAAATTCCTTTCACTTACGTATTTTTTACTTAGGTATAGTTGATTTATGGGCTTCCCAGTTGGCATTAGTGGTAAAGAACCCGTCTTGACCATGCAGGAGGCATAAGAACCTCGGGTTCCATCCCTGGGTCAGGAAGATCCCCTGGAGGAGGGCATGGCAACTCACTCCAGTACTCTATCCTGGAGAATCCCATGGACAGAAGAACCTGGAGGGCTACAGTCGATGGGGTCACAAAGAGTTGGACATGACTGAAGTGACTTAGCATGCATGCATGCATAGTTGATTTACAATGCTGCGTTAGTTTCTGGTGTACAGCAATGTGAAAGAATATATAGATATATACAGAAAATACATATATATTCTTTTTCTTATTCTTTTTCATTGGTTTACTATAGGATACTGAATACAGTTTCCTGTGCTATGCAGTAGAACTTTTCAGTTCAGTTCAGTCGCTCAGTTGTGCCCTACTCTTGGTAACCCCATGGACTGCAGCACACCAGGCTTCCCTGTCCATCACCAACTCCTGGAGCTTGCTCAGACTCATGTCCATGAGCCAGTGATGCCATCTAACCATCTCATCCTCTGCTGTCCCCTTCTCCTCCTGTCTTCAATCCTTCCCGGCATCAGGGTCTTTTCCAATGAGTCAATTCTTGGCAGCAGGTGGCCAAAGTATTGGAGTTTCAGCTTCAGCATCAGTCCTGTCAATGAATATTCAGGACTGATTTCCTTTAGGATGGACTGGTTTGATCTCCTTGCAGTCAGTCCAAGGGACTCTCAAGATCTTCTCCAATGCCACAGTTCAAAAACATCAATTCTTCAGCGCTTAGCTTTCTTTGAGAGAGAATCCAACTCTCACATCCATACATGACTACTGGAAAAATCATAGCTTTGAGTAGACAATTTGACTATTTCAAATTTGGCAATTTTAAAAAAGGCACCAGAGATCAAATTGCCAACATCCCAGAAGGACTTTGCTGTTTATTAAAATTCTTGAGAAATTTAACAGTTGACTCTCACAAGCCAGTATGAGGCTTCAGCACATCACTGGTTGTCTTAGTATTGAGTTGGAGGAGTTCTTTATATATTCTAGATCAGTCCTGTCCAATAGAATATTCTGTGACAAGGGAAATGTTCTATATGCTCTATAATTGTGCGCAGTTTAGTATCATCTCCACCAGCCGCATGGGGCCACTGAATGCTTGAAATATGGTTAATAAATGACAAACTGAATTTTTAATTTTAATTAAATTCAAGTTAAAATATCCAGATATTTAATGGCTAGTATACCATACAATAGCACACTACCAAACAGAGAAAGAACTGACTCTTCCTTGTTTGGGACAGTAACAGACGGTAATATCCAGGACACTAATGATTGTAAAAGTTGTATCGCATTGTGAATACTTTGTGTTCCTAACAGTTAAAAGCAGATTATAGTCAGGCTGTCCCGGTTCACATTTTAAAATTTCCTTCTCTATAAAATGGAAATATTAATAGTACATATCTCACAGACTGGGGATGAGGAGTGAATGAAACAAGGTCCACGGAATGCTTAGTACCCTGTCTGGCTATCCCGTAAACGCTCTGAGTTACCTAAATAATCTGAGATACCTAATGAATAAATTCACTTCCATTGGGATTTATAGTCTCCTCACACAAACGTACGCAGATGAGTTTAAAAGTTACTTATGGATCACTTACTAACAACCGAAACAATCTTCAGGGAAAGCTGCCATAATTTTCTTATAAAAAGAAAACAAACCCGCAAACGGCTCAAATGTTGCTGGCCCTTTTCCACCGGACCCTTTCCATTCCTTTAAAATCGGCCGGGTTGCGGAGAGACGACTGAGTGACAGTGCGATCGGCCAATCACAGGAGGCCCCGTCTCGGGCCCACCCCGAGGCCTCGTCCAACCGCCTGCCGGTGGCTTCCGGAATGGGACCGTTGCGAGGAGGTCGGTTCCAAGTGGGCCGAGGCGCGGGGGGTGGAAGCGGCCCAGTACGCGAGGGCCGTGGCGCAGTGCGCGCTCAGCACCGTGCGGCTGATGAGCGCCTCCCGGCCCAGCGGAACCGCGGGGACTGACCTGTGCCTGGAGCCCATCCCAGCACACGGGGTCTGCCGCGAGTTCCTGGCGTCCCCTCTGGCGCCCTCTTGGAGCCACCTTCCCGAGCGGAAGTCCGCCTGCGGCTCGGGCCGTGGTGGGACCTGCTCGGAGGAATGGCGCTGCCGGGTGAGGCGTTGCGCAGGGCTCGACAACGGGGTCCCGCGGCCCACGTGTCTTGGCGAGTGGGCTGTCGCCCGCGGGAGGCTAGTGCTCGCTATTCGGGGGCCAGCCAGGAGGGGTCCTCTTCCCCTGCGGGGCAGGGGCATGACCTCGGGCTCTTTGGGGGTCCAGGGTCTGACGGGGTGCTGGCCAGCGGTTGGGACTGCGGGCGAGTGGAGGAGAGGGTGGAGGTGGGTGCGGCGCGGGCTACGGGTTCCCCCGAGAGTCAGTTGGGGACCGCAGCCGCGGAGAACCCGCGGTCTGGCTTCACCCATTCATTTGACTCGCGCGGGCTTCCGGGCCAGGTGGCCTAAGAGTGAGCTTTTGGCTAAATCGCCCTTCTTTGGACCGTAGTTTCCTCTTCAGCGAAAGGGGTGAGAAAATCACACCTCGAGAGCTTACGAGCGTGAGTTCTGAAGTTAGGATGTCTCCGGGTGCAAACTTGCAGTCTGCCACGTTTTCGTAAAGTGACCCTGTGCAAGTAACTTGACTCCTCTGCCCCTCAGTTTCTCATCTGTTAAATAGGTTAGTCTCGTAAATTACGATGGGAGTTAAATGAGACCATCTCCCTTCATAGTGTAGAACAGTGCGCGGCAATCAGTAAGTACTCATTAAAACTGAACTACATTGCCAGGTATTGAGAGGACACTGTGCAGGATGCAACCTCGTGTAGTGTCACAGCAACTTGGGGAATGTGTACAATTTTATTATTTCCACTTAACAGAGGGAATCTCAGGGAAGAGATTCTTTCCCAGATAACTTGCCCAAGGTAACAGTGAATAAATCTGTGGGCTCACTGCTCCATTAATTGACAGGTTGAGGATAGTTGAGTTCCTGCAGTTGGATTCTCAACTAGTTCACCTGTCTTAGGGCAGTTAACTATTTCTGTGACTCAGTATCTTGGTCTGTAAAGTGCACAGACTTGGGTGTTGTGAGGATTTAATGACTAAATGCACACAGAGTACTTTAGCATAGTGTGGGCATACCCAGCTCATGTTACGTGCTCAGATTACAGTCCTCAAAGTTGTATGGTTAATATCGTTGATATGAGGTGGGAAGATCAGGATACTGGCACAAATGCTATGTTAGAGGAACTTACAGTCTACCTGGGAAAATGCTGGTCATAGTTACTAGATCTTAATGTACTGAGTACATGCATGTATTCAAGGCACTGGGGATTCAGCATTAGTATCTGGATCCCTCTTTTACGTCTTTACACGCATCAGCAATTCTAATTGAGTTCTAGCCAGTTGGTCCAACCAGTTGGTCCCCTGGTTTAGAGCACCACCATCTTTTTTCTTGAGGTATGGCTGTGGTTTCCTGACTGGTGTCTCTCTTTCTATCCTTGCTCCTCTATAATCTCAGCACAGTATTGTTTCTTCTCAACACAGAGTTCCTGTTAAAATGTAAGTCAGATCACTTCTCTGCTCAAAATTTTCTCACTTAATAAAAGCCAAAGTGCCCCTAGGGTCGTCTGGGTTTGACCTCTGCTGTGTCTGTCACCTTGTCCTGCTTCTCACCCCTTGCTTAATCCTCTCCAGCCATGTTGTCCTCCTGGCTGGTGCAGAAAGCCTTGTCCGCATTCCAGATTCAGGGTCTTTGTACTTGCTTTTCTTCTTGGGATAGTTTCCCTCCGGATATCTTCATGACTTGCTCCTTCTTTTCCCTCAGATTTATACATAATATCTGTATTTCTTAGTTAGGGCTTCTGAGGCTGCCATGTTTAAAGCTGCAGCTCTTCCCAGATATCCCTTACATTCTTTATTTTTCTCCATAGCACTTTTCACCTTCTAAGACGATGAATAATGTTTCTTAGTTATTTTGTGTCATGTCTTTTCCCACTAGAGTGTAAATTCCGAGATTAGGGGATTTTTGTTCCGTTTCATGTTGTATTAACACCAAAAATAGTTCTTGGTACATAGTAGTTATTCAGAAACATTTCATAAATGATGATCCACATTCCAGATCTCTTTCTAGTTTTTTTAAAGAGCTTTCACATTCTTTAGGTTATTTAATACACACAAGGGCTTAAGTAGCACAAACACTCATATCCCTAATGTAGGCATCCCTTCGTCAACATTCTCCCAAAAATAGTGGAGTGAGAACTCTTTAGATGGACCTGGGTTTGATTGTGTCTAGGCTGTGTCTAGGCTGTTCTGGTTGTCTTTCTTATTTGTAAAATACCTTTCTTAAGGGGTTCTAGTTCAAACTGAAGTAGACGATATAGGCAAAGGAGCATTAATTATAAATGTTAACCTTGTGATTACTGTTACTTGGAAGGTAGACTGTTCATGAAGCTGCCCATCTGAAAGGATTTTATTCCAATTAAAAGTAGAAATGTTTGACTCCCGAATTTCCCTCTGTCCCCTGGAGCATAATAGATGAGGACTGATTTTTTTTTTTTCCCATTTATTCAGCAGATATTAATTCAGCACTACCACGTGCAAGGCTTGGAAATACTGGGATGAATAAAAGCAACAGTCTCTGTCCTCGTGGAGCTTATAGTTTAGCAGAGGAATCAGACGTTACTAAATTTAGTTTTAAAAAATATTGCATATCGCCCTTTCCAGTGCCCTTTTGAGGCTGACACAGTGCCTTAAGAGGCTAACACAGGAGGGTATAGAAAGTCTCCATAAAACCCAGAGAAGAGATTTTAGAACTCCTCTCTGGATCCTGTCTGGAGTCACAACTGAAAGCACTTACTAGTATGTGTATAGTTAATACCAAAGTCATTAATTTTAAACTTGACCTTTGGTTTGAAAAAAAAAATACTGCATAGAATTGCAAGTTGCTTTGAATGGATATGGAAACAACAACAATAATGTAAAAGAAGGAGTAGCTAACATTTATGTAACCCTTATTTATATACATGCCACTAATTAAGATTTTCTGACTTAATGCATGTAATTCTAACAACCCCGAGGTCGACACTGGTATTTTCCCGCTTGAGGAAACTAAGGCACACACTGGTTATGTTGTAACTGCCATGGCCACCTGGCTAAGAAGTGACAGAGCTGAGATTTAAACCTGGCCCCAGACACCTTGTGTTTCACTATAGAACCGGGACCCCATCCAGAGAAGGGCTGCTGGGGGGTTTCTTAAGGAAGAGATACTTGACCTGAAATCTGAAAGTTGACATTAAGCAGGAGAAGACATGCCAAAAAGTTGGGTAGGAAAGAACACGACTCGTTAGAGGAACAGAGAGGAGGGCAGAGAGCCACAGATGAAAGAGTGGGGGAAGAGATCCCACTGGGAAACAGGCAAGGCCACTTGAGGACTCAGGTTTGGATTTGTCCTAGGAGGCATTGGAGCTGCAAACATACCTGAGACGGGAATGGCATGATGAGCCCCTCGCTTTAGATGCCCAGAGGCTGCTGGGAGGACTGTCATTCAGATGGTTAAGACTGTGCCCACCGGTTCCCCAGGGTGGAGCCTCCCAGTTCCCTCACCCTTCCTCACATGATTTGGTTCCCAGACCTTGGTGCGCCTCATCATTGGAACTGTGTATAGAACTTTGAATAGTGTGGAGTGTATTTATTTAACAATCATTTCCCCCCAAGGTTCAAGCACTGTCTTCCTGTTGGCCCTGACAATCATAGCCAGCGCCCAGGCTTTGACGCCCACTCACTACCTCACCAAGCATGATGTGGAAAGACTGAAAGCCTCGCTGGACCGCCCTTTCACAAGTTTGGAGTCTGCTTTCTACTCCATCGTGGGACTCAGCAGCCTTGGTGCCCAGGTGCCAGATGTAAAGGTAAGACTACTTTTGCCTTGGTGGCCTCATTCCTTCACTGACTTCCTTTTGTGTACTTCAAACCTTACTCCTGCTTATTTGAGAATACCCAAGGCTAAGCCAATATCATAAATATCTATATCAATCTGACAGATACTTTTTTTTTTAATGAATGACTAATGTATGTTAGGACCATGCCATGTGTTTTAGTAAAGTATAAAGAAGACCAAGTCATAAATCCTTTAGGAACTTTGTAGCTTTTACTGAAACTTTTACGGTGAGGCTGGGCTTTCCCAGTAGCTTAGACGGTAAAGAATTTGCCAGCATACTGGAGATTGCAGTTTGATCTTTGGGTGGGGAAGATCCCCTGGAGAAAGGAACGGCAACCCACTCCAGTGTTCTTGCCTGGAGAATCCCATGGGCAGAGAAGTCTCATGGGCAACAGTCCATGGGGTGGCAAAGAGTTGGATACGACTGAGTAACTTCCATTTCATTTCACTTCACTTGCAGTGAGGCTGTACTTGTTAAGTGCCCCGTGTGTGTGGCTAATAAATATTAAAGGAGTTCAAGATGGGGGAGCATTCACTTTTTATTAAACACTGACAGTTACAGCATCAGGCAATTCTGCTATATTTTTTGAATCTTTGATGAGGAAAAATGCATCATGACTGAAACCTTTCCTGGATTTAGGGAAAGTCTTAAATTGTGAATTTATGTTTTATTCATTACAGCAACATGGACAGCTTCGGGCAGGGAATTAGGGCCAGGTTTCTCACATAAGCCTTGTGTGTCAGTTTCCTATAGTTATGTAACAAATCACTATGAACTTAGGGATTTAAAACAACGCTCATTTATGAATATATAGTTCTGTAGGTCAGAAGTCCAGGCAGGCTTGGCGGGGCTCTCTGCTTAGTGTTTCATAGGCCCCTTTGAAGGTATTGGCCAGGCTTGGTTCTTAACCTGGAGGCTCCTCAGGTTGTTGGCAGAATCCAGTTCCTTGTGGTCGTGGATCTGAGGTCCCCATTTTATCACTGTCAAGCTAAGGGCTGCTGTCCACTCCTCACAGCCACTGCCTTTCTTCTCATCTTGCCCTGTCCCCACTTAGATCAGTCATGGCATGTTGAGTCCTTCTTAACTCTTCAAATCTCTCTGACCTCCTCTTCTGCTACCAGTTGGAGAAAACTCTCTGCAATTAAAGGGCTTACCTTTTAGGTCAGGCCTACCTGGAGAATCTCTCTAAATTTTAAAGTCTGCTGATTTGGGACTTTAATTACACCTAAAAAATCCCTTCATAGCAATTCTTAGGTTAGTGTTTAAATACATAATCAATGGATGGAAATCTGACAATGACATCTTTAGAATTCTGCCTTTCTTATACTAGCATGGAAATGGCCCCATATTTAAATGGTTTATGACTAAAGTTTATTTTTCACTTGTACTATAATATGGCCATCAATGCTTAGCTGGGGCTTTGCTCCATATTCTTCAGGCTAAGATTTAGCCTAATGGAGTAGTCCATTTCTGGAGTGTTGTAGAGATGTTGTTACTTCTGCAACTTCTCTTCAGAAGAGATACTTGCCACTTCTTTTTTCTTTCTCATTTCTTTGCCTAAAGCAAGTCCCATGGCCATGCCTGGGTTCAACAGATTAGGGCAATGTAATCTTCAGAGGACAGTGCATTTTAGGGAGTGGTAACGTGTCCAGTTAGCTGCTCAGTCCCTTTGCTAAGGCCTGTCTTAGCCTTCTCCCTGACTCTCAGATCCTTTTCATCTTTAACAGTCTCCCTCCGACCCCATCTTTTACTTATGGAACAAGCCAGGTCACTTGTCCTGGAGAATTTTCCAGTCTGCCTTTGATTGATTATATCCTCATGTTGTTTTTGAACATATTTTCTTACCTCTTGGATTCTTATAAACCGATAGTTCTTGAGGCTTATATTCAGGGTCAGTTTGTAGGCAGTGCTGTGTACTTCCTTTTAGTGGATGCATAATACCTGATTGTTTCATTTTTAGTTATGATAAAGTTGAATCCGTAGATTCAGGTGTTATCACACAAGTCTCTCTCTTGTATACAGTATATAGCAGGAATTTGTTTTCTAATCTATTCTGACAATCTCAATCTCTTAGTTGGGGATTTAGTTCATTTATATTTTTTGTAACTGCACTGTTGGATTTAAGCCTACCATTTTGTTATTTTCTATTTGTCTATCCATTCTTTCCTCTTCCTTTCCTTTTAGTTTGAATCTTTTTTAAAAAATAGTTTATCTCTTCTATTGACTTTTTGCTTTAGTTTTTTAGCAGCTGATCTAGAGATTGTAATATACATCTTTTAAGAAAAAACTTATTTATTTAATTGGCTGTACTGCGTCTTGGTTGCTACGTGTGGGCTTTCTCTAGTTGAGGTGTGTTGGGGCTACTCTAGCTGTGGTGGACAGGCTTCTCATTGCGGAGGCTTCTCTTGCTGGTGAGCACAGGCTCCAGGGTGCCCAGGTTTCAGTAGCTGCAGCTCATGGGCTCTGGAGCTCATAGGCTCTAGGCTCAGTATTTGTGGCCGGGCTTAGTTGTCCTGTGGCATATGGAATCTTCTGGACCAGGGTTTGGACCCATGTCCCCTGCATTGGCAGGTGGGTTCTCAATCACTGGACCACCAGGGAAGTCCCTGTAATGTGCATCTTAACTTATCACAGTATATTTTTAATTATTTTGCCACATCACGAATAAGGAAAGGACCTTATAACAAAATATTTCTCTTCAAACTCGCATCATTTGTATTACTGTCATTCTTTTTATTTTTTTGCAAGGATCACCGTCTTGAGCTGTCTGGTGTCTCAACATCTCATTTTGTTCAGTTTTATAGTTTTATATGGCAGTTTAATATTTTAATCCCATCTTGGTCAGAACAGGTAGTCCCAGTTGATGTCTTGCAATTTTTTTTTTTTTTTTTTTTGATGCTCAAAATGTTCTATTTTTGCTAATGGGCCAAAATGTTTCTGTATGTGTGTGTTTTTGTGAACTGGTAGTCTTTGAGAATTTCTGATGTCTTCAGTTTATGTTTCCTGGCTGGGGCTAGAATCAGCAATTGGTATTATCTATTGAATATCTCATATACGCCAGATACACTGGACATGTTATCTTGAGTGTTCTTAATTCTCAGTTCAGTTCAGTTGCTCAGTGGTGTCTGATTCTTTGTGACCCCATGGACTTCAGCACGCCAGGCCTCCCTGTCCATCACCAACTCCTGGAGTTTATTCAAACTCATGTCCATCGAGTCGGTGATACCATCCTACCATCTCATCCTCTGTCATCTCCTCCTCCCACCTTCAATCTTTCCCAGCATCAGGGTCTTTTCAGATGAGTCAGTTCTTCCCATCAGGTGCCCCAGAGTATTGGAGTTTCAGCTTCAGCATCAGTCCTTCCAATGAATATTCAGGACTGATTTCCTTTAGGATAGACTGGTCGGATCTCCTTGCAGTCCAAGGGACCCTCTAGAATCTTCTCCAGCATCACAGTTCAAAAGCATCAGTTCTTCGGTGCTCAGCTTTCTTTATAGTCCAACTCTCACATCCATACCTGGCTACTGGAAAAACCATAACTTTGACTAGATGGACCTTTGTTGGCAAAGTAATCTCTCTGCTTTTTAATATGCTGTCTAGGTTGGTCATACTTTTCTTCCAAGGAGCAAGTGTCTTTTAATTTTATGGCTGCAGTCACCATCTGTAGTGATTTTGGAGCCCCCCAAAAAGTAAAATCTGTCACTTTCCACTGTTTCCCCATCTCTTTGCCATGAAGTGATGGGACCAGATATCATGATCTTAGTTTTCTGAATGTTGAGTTTTAAGCCAACTTCACTCTCCTCTTTCACTTTCGTCAAGAGGCTCTTTAGTTCTTCTTCACTTTCTGCCATAAGACTGGTGTCATCTGTATAACTGAGGTTACTGATATTTCTCCCTGCAATCTTGATTCCAGCTTGTGCTTCATCCAGCCCATCACTTCTCATGATGTACTCTGCATGTAAATTAAACAAGCAGAGTGACAATATACAGCCTTGACGTACTCCTTTCCCTATTTGGAACCAGTCTGTTGTTCCATGTCCAGTTCTAACTGTTTCTTCCTGACCTGCATACAGAGTTCTCAAGAGGCAAGTCAGGTGGTCTGGTTGGTATTCCCATCTCTTGAGGAATTTTCCACAGTTCTTCTATATGGTCAGAAATATTTTCCTGTAATAGAGGAGAAAACACAAATTCAGAAAGGTTAAGAAATTTGCCCTGTGTCTGCCAACCATCATCTGAATAATGGCCCCCAGGGTCAAATCCAGCTTGAAGTCTATTTCTTAAATAAGTTTACTGGAATACAACTATACCCATCATCTATATATTGCTTACTGCTACTTTTGCACTTGAACAGTAAAGCTGAGTAATTACTAAAGGGAGTTTTCTGGCCCCCAAAGCCTATTTATTCTCTAGCCCTTTATAGAAAATTTGCTAATCCCTGCTGTTTGAGAGCTGCACCTATTCAGAAATTCAGATATCTTCCTGACAGCTATTACTTGTTCCTGCCCAGTATTTCTGTGTGTGACTGTTGAAACCAACTTTACTCATGTTGTTGTAAACCTTCTAGGTCAAGGTACCACCTGATAAAATTAATTTTGCGCAAAAGAAAGTGCACAAACAGCAGAGTCATTAGCCCAAGCTTTTGATCTTGGCTCCATCTCGGTAAAATGGGAGTTCTGATGCCTTTCTCCTGGGATCATTGAAGAGATAATGTGAAATCACATTATGCTTAATAGGTAACAGGCCCATGAAAGGCCCTTTGATTGTTAACTATTGTTATAATTGATATTTTAAAACTTTTGCTTTTATTTATAATTTATTCATGTCAGTTCAGACGGTGCTGGTGTAGATACTGTATGGACAGCCCATGGTGTCTGTAAAGGGCCTGGGAAGAGAGAGAACAGTTGGGAGGCATAGGGTGGAGCAGTCTTGACCAGCAGAAGTTTTGTATCATCAGGTATAGGAGAGAAAATGGGATTATTAGGTTAATTTTAAATTTTGGCGGATTTGAATGCAGATGAATGGTTTCTACTGATGGATTCAAACATCTGCGGGACCATAGGATTCAGTCCAGGGGCCTCATGGAGGAGTGGGGTGGTGATACCTCTTTTAAAAAGATTCATTTCTGCGTCTTTTGGCCACACCGGGTCTTGCTGCTGCGCGCGGGCTTGCTCTGGTTGCCGTGCGCAGGCTTCTCACTGAGTGGCCTCTCTTGTTGTGGAGCACAGGCTGTAGGCAGGTGGGCTTCCGTAGTTGTAGTTCACGGGCTCTAGAGTGCAGGTTCAGTAGTTGTGGTGCACGGGCCCAGTTGCCCTGTGGCATGTAGGATCCTTCCCAGGCCAGGGATTGAACCCAAGTCCCCTGCGTTGACAGGCAGATTCCTAACCACTAGACCACCAGGGAAGCCCAGAACGCCACCGTTTAATCTGTCTCATGATTTGGAGCTGCATGTGGATTTAGATTGAACTCATGCCCCTGCGGGTGTTCCCTGCTGATGTCATGAGTTCAAACGGATGTTGGCCTGGGCTGATAGGCTAAAGCTATCCAGACAACTGCAGTGCACTGTGATTCAGGGGTAATTGTGTGATTCAGTTCAGCTGCTTAGTCATGTCCGACTCTGCGGCTCCATGGACTACAGCACACTAAGCTTCCCTGTCCATCACCAACTCCCAGAGCTTGCTAAAACTCATGTCCATTGAGTCAGTGATGCCATCCAACCGTCTCATTCTCTGTCATCCCCTTCTCCTCCTGCCTTTAGTCTTTCCCAGCATCAGGGTCTTTTCAAATGAGTCAGTTCTTCCCATCAGGTGGCCAAAGTATTGGAGTTTCAGCTTTAGCATTAATCCTTCCAATGAATAATTCAGGACTGATTTCCTTTAGGATTGAGTGGTTTGATCTCCTTGCAGTCCAAGGGACTCTCAAGAGTCTTCTCCAACACCACAGCTAATTGTGTGATTGGTGGTGGTGGTGGCGGCTTAGTTGCTAAGTCGTGTCTGACTCTTGGGACCCCATGGACTGTAGCCTGCCAGGCTTTTCTGTCCATGGAATTCTCCAGGCAAGAATATCGGAGTTGGTTGCCATTTCCTTCTCCAAATTGTTTGATTAGCTGTGGCTTTTTGTTCTTATTCAGTGGTTGGCTTAAGATCTTGACTTCACAACTACACCACTGAGGGACCTGTGCTGCTTACTGAACCTTTCAGAATCTTTGTTTTCTCATCTGTAACATGGAAATAGTTATAGTACGCAGCTCACAGGTGATGGATGTAGGGTGGTTAGCATGGTGATGGCAGGTAATACGTGTGTAATCAGTATTAGCTCTTAATAGTACTATTATGTAATAGTGGTAGTTCATGTACATTGATGTTTTATTTTTTTATCAAACTGCCATCCGCATTAATGCCTACTGAACAGAAAGTGTTCCTCAAATATTTGTTGAATGAATGAATTGTAAACTTTAGCCTAATAGAAATGAAAGCTCTCTAAATGTGCCTCTTAATCAGAAAATAAATGGTTTAATCACATACTTCATTCTTCTAATCACTTATGAAACATGCTGTGGTGAGGGTGTGATGTGCACATTGTAAGCCGTGGAAGGAAGGGAGTTGTATGGACGTTTAGGAGCTGGTGGATTTCCTTATTAGAGATGCACATTAAATAAACCAGTTGAGGTTCTGCAACAGGCGTGGGTCACGCTCTCGCTCACTCGCTCTCTTTCTGCTGCCATCTTGGTTCCGTGTTCCCCGCACAGAGCCAGACCGGGATCCTCTCCCTCGGGTTGAGAACGCAGTGATAATTGCTTCTGTGTGGGATTTGGAGTGTGGAATAAAACGAATCCCTGGGCAGTGGGAAATCCGCTCTCCGCGGAGTGAAGAGGAGCGACAAAAAAAAGGCCTCCTTTTTATTCCCTTCAGAAGTGCCCGGTGAAGCCACAGAAACCGTCCCTGCTACAGAGCAGGAGTTGCCACAGCCCCAGGCTGAGACAGGGTCTGGAACAGAATCTGATAGTGATGAATCAGTCCCAGAGCTTGAGGAGCAGGATTCTACACAGGCAACCACACAGCAAGCTCAGCTGGCAGCAGCAGCTGAAATCGATGAAGAACCAGTCAGTAAAGCGAAACAAAGCCGGAGTGAAAAGAAGGCACGGAAGGCTATGTCCAAACTGGGCCTTCGACAGGTTACAGGGGTTACTAGAGTCACTATCCGGAAATCTAAGAATATCCTTTTTGTCATCACAAAACCAGATGTGTACAAGAGCCCAGCTTCAGATACCTACATTGTTTTTGGGGAAGCCAAGATTGAGGATTTATCTCAGCAAGCACAGTTAGCAGCTGCTGAGAAATTCAAAGTTCAAGGTGAAGCTGTCTCAAACATCCAAGAAAACAGACTCCAACTGTGCAAGAGGAGAGTGAAGAGGAAGAGGTTGATGAAACAGGTGTGGAAGTTAAGGACATAGAATTGGTCATGTCACAAGCAAATGTGTCTAGAGCAAAGGCAGTCCGAGCCCTGAAGAACAACAGTAAGGATATTGTAAATGCTATTATGGAATTAACAATGTAACCATCTGAAAAGAGGACCTTTTTTTGGTGTTTCAAAAGAGTAACTGCAGCTGGGTTTGAAATTTGTACTGTTTCTATCATTAATAAAGTTATGGCTTCTTGTTGGATGAAAAAAAAAAAACCCAGTTGAGAGAGTCTCTGTTACTGCCACTTCTGTGTAGTGGGGTGTGTCCTCCTCAGCTGTCGTGGCTTTCAGTGAGTAGGGAGAACTCCCTCAGTTCTGTTAGACCCACTGAGTTGGTTGCTCTCATAGGTAGGTCATTAGGGGAGATTTTGGTTATCTTGTCATAACAAATTCAGCAGGAAAACTGAGAGGAATGGGGTTAAATAAGTATGAGAGGAGAGCATAGCTTTGGTAACAGTGGAGTGTGGAATGAGAGTTGGTTTTAACGAAGAATGAACATCTTTCATTTTGGTGTCAAGTACTGTATATGTAGGGCTTCCCAGGTGACTCTGTGGTAAAGAATCTGCCTGCCATTGCAGGAGAGATTGGATTGGGAAGATCCCCTGGAGGAGGAAATGGCAACCCACTCCAGTATTCTTGCCTCCATATTCATGGAATTTTCCCCAAGAAGGGCCTGGCAGGCTATAGCCCATGGGGTCGAAAAGAATGGAATACTACTGAGCATACATGACCCTCCTACAAAGGCGTGTCTGTGGTTTCCTGTCTTTAGACACGTAAGAATTGGAGGCAAAGAAATGTGGACTTGGAGAAGTCTGGGGCCAGCTTCCTTCCTGCGGGCTCAAGATCAACCATCCCACATAGGAAAAAAAGCAAACACAAGCTACCCACATTTTGAGCTTTGAAATCACGGACTGCTGGTAGATCTGTCTCTGCAAAGCAAGTATAGTAGGCATGATGCTGGTTTTACACAGGAACAAGTCGTTTTTATAGTACGGAGAAAGGTTGTATAGCTCAGACTGAAGCCAGGCTGCCTGGGTCTAAATTCCAGTTCCTCCATTAAGAGCTGAGTGACCTGATGCTCCAGTTTTCTTATCTGTAAAATTCAGGTAATCGGAGGACCTAATGTATAGATCCTCTTATTAAAGGAGAAATGCTTATACAGCACTTGTCAACACTGCTTGCCACATTTTAAGTACCCAAAAAGTAACAATGATCATCATTGTTTGGGGCTTTGGATGTTGTTCTACTTTTAAAGCACCAGATGGCGACAAAGCACACATTAATTACCTACATTCTACTGAAAGGATTTCTTGAATAGATTGTTTTCTTCTTCACATCCTTTTTAGATGTGTTGAACCTGACTTAGCTTTGGAGACATCTGAGTGAAGACATTACCATTTATTAGCTTTGTGACCTTCATGAGGTTACTTACCAGTGCTGAACCTCAGTTTCTTATTCTGTTCAATGGGGATGATAATATCTACCACAGGGTCCTCATGTTCATTAAAAGGAAGAGAATCATAAACACCCTGCACAGGTTACAGCCAGAGCAGGTGGTCAGTGGGAGTGACCACCTTTTCTCTCCTTACTTCTAGGTTCAGAAGGACTATGTGTGTGTATGCTGAGTTGCTTAGTCGTGTCCAACTCTTTGTGACCTCATGCACTGTAGCCCATCAGGCTCCTCTGTTCATGGGATTCTCTAGGCAGGAATACTGGAGTGGGTTAGCCATTCCCTTTTCCAGGTGAGGGTCTTCGCAACCCAGGAATCAAACCCAGGTCTTCTGCTTTGCAAGATTCTTTGCCATCTGAGCCACCAGGGAAGCCCTAGAGTTGCTCTTTCTGTGAAGTTAGCATTTGGGGGTAATATAGCTTCCTGTGAAAAATATCTGTTTAAAAAATGAAGTCTTGTGTAGCTTGTTCTTTAAGCCATCATAGATTGCTCAGAATTTTATTTGTCATTCAAAAAAAAGGTACACTTGACCCAGTCATCGTGTGTATCACCACTTATGTTGATTTTCCCTCTGTTTAGAAAGCGTGCACCTTCATTAAATCAAACCTTGATCCCAGCAATGTGGATTCCCTTTTCTATGCCGCCCAGTCCAGCCAGGCCCTCTCAGGGTGTGAGGTGAGTCCAGCTTCTTAACGTTTGTGTTTACTTTAAACTGTCAAGTCCTTTTTAAAGAGGGGTGGTCATGTGAGACTTTTTTTAGCAAGGAGATTATTCCATATGGGTGGGAATTCCATTCTTGTGTTTTTTTTTTCCCTTGAAGAAATGGACTTGGTTTATGTTTCCCATGTTTTCACTTTTCATGAATTTTTAAGTAACTTCTTCCTCGCGTTGTCTCTCTTCTGGGAAGTCTTGCTTTTTTTCTTACAGTCTCCCTTTAACATTTCAAAATGTTTAAAGTGAAAGATGCATACCCCCACCAGATTTCTAGAAATCCATTTTTTTGAACACAGGAAAACCCTATCAGTAGGCTAGTGAGCTGCCAGAATATTTTCAAAAGTGTTGTGCTGAGGTTTCCCAGATATTTAATTCTGGTTTCTGAGATGTTGAAGAGAGTGATCGAGGACCAGATGGGTGATGTGACCGTGGTAGTTGCTCTGCCTGCCGCAGGCTGCCCTCACCTGTTCTAAACTCTGTGTCTGCCCGTCCTTTCTTAGATCTCTATTTCAAATGAGACCAAAGACCTGCTGCTGGCAGCTGTGAGCGAAGACTCCTCGGTGGCCCAGATCTACCATGCAGTGGCAGCCCTGAGTGGCTTTGGCCTCCCCTTGGCTTCCCAGGAAGCGCTCGGTGCCCTTACCGCCCGCCTCAGCAAGGAGGAGACTGTGCTGGCGTAAGTCCGCATCTCAAGCGCTTCTCAGGCTGCTTCCCTGAGAGGCTTCGTCCACTGGTTCCATGATGTTGTCTGGGCACCTGCTATGCTCCAGCTGCCCTGTCGGCACTGCAGACATCGTATTGTACTAAGGTCCATGTCCTCCTGCAGCTCCCCAAGACATGGTCTCCCGGAGTGCTCTGGCCGAGGCAAATACTGAGTCAGAACATAAGCATGCTGCTACAGAGAGACACGATTGCTTTTGAGATTAGGGGCTGAGGCAAGGGATGGGGCGGCCAGAGAGCCGCGTGCATTCTCATGCTGAGGCTTGGCCGGGCCACGGTGTGATGGTGGAGACTCTGCCGTGGAGGAGGGCTCATGGAGTCCCTTCGAGGTGTGGGTGACAGCACCCAGCAGGGGAGTAGGGGCTCAGAGGGGAGAGTATCTTAGGGATCTAACCCTGTTCGTCTGCAAAAGGCTCAGGTGAAGGAGAAGCACCTGCTAGGAAGGAACACTGAACAGCTTTCCTGTTTGTTATACATTTATTATACATGTATTGTAACTGACTTCAGGATGTTTGCTAAACTTTAAAGTTATAGGTAGTTTCTTTTCCCCTTTGATCCTGAAACTCTTCATTAAACACAATATATGCATATTTCATTTTCTACGTGTCCCCCATTTAATTGCAACCCTGAGAGGGATTGGAGTACCTGGACTCCTGTTTATCATCAGCAAGACATTTAGTGACACAATGCCCTATTGCAGAATAGTTCATTTGTTTCCCAGCGTTTTGTTTGGTTTGTTTTTTGTTTTTGCTAAGAACTGAAATGTTTCTAAACTTGAAGCTTTGTTAAGAACAGGTTCACAGTCAGTTGCCTTTCTCTTTGTCACTCTCACATCCTACTCATTTTCACGTGGTCAGTAATCAGTGACTTGGGGGCTGGGACTTTTCCTAGGAATGACATTTTGTTCACGCTTTGCCCAGTGCTTGGCCCTTGTGGTCCTCTGGTTTCAGGTCACAAGACTTGTCACCACTGTGTCTCCTGTCATGAATTCATTGTCACTGTGTCACTCGGATGCCACCTTACACAGAAAAATCTTTCCATTGCCCTCTGAGCAGAAGGGAAAATTTCCCTCCTCTAAACTCCAGAACAGAAAGAAGCACAAAGAAAGTACATCCATTTTGGGGTCTGTTAGACTTGAGTTTGAATACTAGCTCTGTTTCTTGCTGTGTGACTTTGGGCAAGTTATTAACCTCTCTGAGCCTCATCTGTAGATGAGATCAGTAGTCCTTACATCACAGAACAAATATCAAGGTTCAGTAAGATAGTTGTTGTGAAGAGCTTAGTGCAGTGCCTGGTTTGGTGGGCATGGGCCACACGGAGTTCGTGCTCGCTAGAGCAGTTCCTTCTCGGGTCCCTTTCTTAGGGAACTGGTTACTTCCTTGATTGTATTGTAATTTTTCCTGGATTAGATTGTAAGCTTTATTTGTAGTGCTCAGAGAGTCTGGTACATGGGCAGGTGCCCAAGAAAGAGTTAACTTCAAAACTATACTTTTATATTTCTATTTTCTCCTCTTGTAAAAAACTTCAGATAGGAAGATCACACACTTGGGATGCGAGAGAAATGTTCAAGTCCAGCCTCTTCTACTTAATGTCTTTGTGACCATGAGCAGGCTGTTTAACCTCCCTAAACCTCAGTGTTTTCGTATGTTAAACAGGGAGAATGATATCTGTCTCAGGGTTATTGGGAAGATCAAACTGGCAGAATGCCTTATATAATATTAACTACTCAATTGCCCTGTTTTAGGAAATCTGATATAAATTAGGACTTTTCTAAATGGGCCTTCTACATTTAATTGGACTTATTCTAGGAAATGAATGTTCATAAACTTGTCTAGAACAGGAAAAGGACATTTGTAAGCTTGAGTGAACAATCTAAAAAGATGCTGTTGTGGTCTGTCATAACCCAGTGTCTTTGAATCATTGACAGTATGTTAGTAAGACAGGATCTGCTTTCTTAGTGTTTGCATATAGTGCTCCAGAGGGAGAGAAGTTGCTGACTGGGGAATAAATAAAGCCAATGATAATTTTTTTCAAAAGCTAAGTGGATTAATTTCATTCTGAAAACTTCTGAGGTTGTTACCAGCTTGACACTCACTTGTTCCGAAGAAGAGAAAAATGATATCTTAATTGAAAAGTTCTTTCTAGGCTCTCCTAGCAGTCTTTTCTGGGCTCATCGTTTATTGCAGGCAGATGTGGGATTTCTATCTTGTTTGGAAATTCAGGTTTCATTTTCTCAAGTGCATTCCAACAGTCATCCCAGAAGGGTCATTGAACACTTCCCTCTCCATGAATTCTGACTCCTCTGTTTTCCAGCTTGTAACCTTAATGGAATTTTTCCATGGAGGGAATCTAAATTGTTATGATTGCAATGAAAGCAGACAAATTCTCTCTCTACATCTCCCAAAATACTGACTTGATAAATGGTGTTTTTACACAAAGGCCTGGTCATCTCTTGAGAGTTAGAGAACCTTTCTGGGGTTGAGCAGCACAGGTTAACCACCAGGGGTCCTCAGCTGTCTTCATTCTGCTTCTAAAAGCACCATTTCCATTCCAAGTTATCCACATTAAGAGAATAGAACCTAATAGAATATCTTATATGGACATACACTTGTTTGTTGTTCGGTCACTAAGTCGTGCCCAACTCTTTGTGACCCCAGCACGCCAGGCTTCCCTATCCATCACCATGAGTTTGCTCAAACTCATGTCCATTGAGTCAGTGATGCCATCCAAACATCTCTTCCTCTGTCACCCCCTTCTCTTCCTGCCCTCAGTCTTCCCCAGCATCAGAGTCTTTCCAATGAGTTGGCCCTTCACGCCAAGTAGCCAAACTGTTGGAGCTTTAGCTTCAGCATCAGTCCTTTCATTGAATATTCAGGGTTGATTTCCTTTAGGATTGACTGGTTTGATTTCCTTGCATTCCCGTGGACTCTCAAGAGTCTTCTCCAGTACCCCAATTTGAAAGCATCAATTCTTTGGTGCTCAGCTCTCACATCCATACAGTAGTTTTCCAGTAGTCACTGGAAAACCATAAACTTTGTGCGAACCTTTGTCAGACATACATACTACATCGCACCTTAAGAATGAAGTGCTAAAACAAAAATGAAGTATTGATTGTGTTACAGTGTGGACAAGCCTTGAAAACATTATGCCTAATGAAAGAAGCTAAACACAAAAGGTCACCTTTGTATGACTCCATTTAAATGAAATAACCAGAATAGGTAAATCCATAGAGACGGAACATAGATTGCTAGGGGCCAGGGGGCAGGGAGAGAGTGGGGGATGGGAAATGGAATGAAACTGTTTAATGGATATGGGGTTTTATTAATATTTTGGACTGATGGGAACGCTTTAGGACTATATAGAGGTGGTGATTACACAACATTGTGAAACATACTAAATGCCTCTGAATTATTCACTTTCAGATGGCTGATTTCATGTGAATTTCACTTCAGTGAATTAAAATGTATATATACATATACAACCATGGATAACTTAACAGTTATAGCACTGTATGACCTAGTAAAATGTAAATGTTCATCAGTTGAAGATTAAGTGAGTAAATTATGGTTCATCTAAGCAATATAATACCATTGTTAATAAGGATGAAATACATTTATATGTACTCATAGAAAAGTGTGTACAGTCTATTAAAGATAAATTGGAGAGCAGTTATCTTTTAGGGATAGGCATTACAAGAAATTTAACTTTCTTTAGTAATCTATTTGAATGTTTGACAAATATGTACTTTTATAGTCAGAAATAAGCGGTAATAGAAATGGAAAAGAAAAAAAAAAGAATGGACTCTGGTTTGAGAACCAAATCTTTTATTCCTTTCACCTTATTTAATGCCTCACGGATGAGCAGCTTTCGGGTCTCCTAGCAGGATGACGACAGCACAAGTGTTACCTGTGTGTTTACCAAATGCTTCCTATTTCTATTGCATTCACCTGGTTCCAGAAAAGTTGCTCCAGATTCTACCAGCAACCTACATATGTACATTCCACAAAGTTTCTTTGGTCTTGGAATAGGAAAAGTAGAAAGTTAACAGGTAGCTAGCCTCTGCCTGGCACAGTACCTCATATGACATGAGGATGCCCAGTATACCTTGGTTGAATTGACTCCCATTCTCTCAGAGTGTATCTCTTCTAGAGCTAATGAAGTCTTAGTCTAGTGTTCCCTGTGCAGTGCTATTAGGAACCAAACGGAGGTTCAGAAGGGGGTTCGCTGGTGCGCCATCTCTTCTCTCTGCCTTCAGTACTTTTGTGGATCCTGTTGCCCAAATTGCCTCTCTCTAACTGTAGTGAACTTTGTGATATAATGGTCTTTTTTTTTTGGCTGTACTACGTGGCTTATGGGATTTAGTTCCCCAACCAGTGATTGAACCTGGGATCCCAGTGATGAGAGCGCTGAGTCCTCCTAACCACTAGACCACCAGGGAACTCCTTGTAATGTGATGATCTTTGTTGCCTCTTTCCCATATAGATTGTAAACCAGCTCCTTTAGGCCTGAGACTGTCTTACATTTCTAGAGAACAAGAGTGGGATATTTTTGCAAATATCCTGATACAGGAAGGGGTGTGTAGAAACTTGCCATTCATTGGGGTTCTACTCTTTGCATTCCAGAACAGTCCAGGCTCTGCAGACGGCCTCCTACCTGTCCCAGCAGGCTGACCTGAGAAGCATCGTGGAGGAGATTGAGGTACAAATTTATTTTGCCAAGTGAATCTCCCAGTTCCTGTCTTTGAAACCCATTAGAAGAGTCTTGCAGATAAACATGAATCATTTGTTATGGCCAGTTGCTTTTCTTTTCATATCCATGGCAGACTTCTGTTCTTTGTATCAGAGCAGTATTTCATAGGGAGTATTGGTTAGGCAAGTATAGTTACACCATCAAGGAGACAACAAACTACTTCATCCTACTTTTGTAGGTATGGTCTCACAGTCCACAGATTTTAGAACATAACAAACCTGAAATTCAGATTTTTTTTTCTGCTTAACTGCTCTGTAATCTTGGGCAAATTATTTAAGTCTGAACCTCAGTTTCCCTACATGGTGGTAGTTAGGAGCAAGTGGAGTTCTAAAGTGCCTAGTCCAGAATTGACATTCAGCACATGGTCACTGTGGTCCATCCTTCGCCCAGGCCCTCCCGCTGCTCAGAGCCTGCTCTTGTGGACCGTATAGTCAGTGATGACAGGCAGTCTGACAGTGTTGTCACTGGTTTGCCCCACAGGCACGTTAGCTGCCTCATCATATTCCCCAGGAGAGTGGTATGTCTTTCTCCATCCTTTAGAGCATTGATTAAGGAGGAGAAAAGCTTGGCTCTAGAGGTTATATCCAGCGGGTGGCCATCGAACCCATCCATGTCACAGTGCTTCCCGGCTACACCGCAGCCTGGCCCACCAGCCTTCTGCCCAGGGCAGTTGGCGCCTTGAGTGCCCTGATTCCTGGGCTTGGGCTTAAGTTGAGGGGCTCAGGGAAGGAGCACTCTCAGAGCCTCAGAAGATACTGTTCTCTTCAGAAGCCTGTATGCTGTACTTCACTTTCCACCTAAACACCTTTGTTGAGAAAGCTCGTGAGTGACTGAAGTGGTCTGCAGACTGACGTTTCCCAAAACCTTGTCTGCACTGGGGTGATGCTTTGTACATGTCATCTCCGTTGTATCCCGTGACTTCCAACTGGCCTCCGCTTTTGTCATGACAGGACCTTGTTGCTCGCCTGGATGAACTGGGAGGTGTGTATCTCCAGTTTGAAGAAGGACTGGAAACAACGGCTTTGTTTGTGGCTGCCACCTACAAGCTTATGGACCATGTGGGGACGGAGCCGTCCATTAAGGAGGTGCCTGCCTACATCACAGTTCTCTGGCATGAAACTCAAAGGCATCCTTGACATTACCTCCTAATGATAGCTTTTCAGAGAGGGCTATTTAGTTAGCTTTGGGCTATCTTGGGTTCGGCGTGGAAATGAGAAAGAAAAATGTGAAGCCTGTTCTTGAGAAACTGGTTGTCAGTGGGACAGGCGTGGAAAACAAATTGCAACACTTGTTTTAAATAGAATACGGTTTTGTCACGAGATAGTGGCGCAAAGGCCAAGTGCATTATTCTCTGTCCACCTCCCTATCCTCCCCAGTGCTCCTAACTGCTTGTCTTATGAATTCTTTCCACGGTGGTGGCCTGTGCACATCCTCTTTCTCTTGAGAAGTGCCCTATACATCAAAATTGCCTGTCCTCTCTCTCCAACCCTTGGTGATGGCTCAGTCAGAGCTAATCTATGCTGATTGACATAGTTCACTGAGAGGCATGTGTGTCTACCAGACATCCACCAAGAATTCTTTTTTCTTTTTTCAAGAGGAGCTTGTTAACCTGAAAGAACCTTTAGTTGAAATGTGTGTGGGAAGTCTTGAGAGTGGGACCCTCTTGATACCCCTTGTTTGTAAGAAGGTGACCAATCCTTGATCTCAAGGACTTCAAATACAACAGTGCTGCTGTTTTAATTTGAGGCCTCAGTTAGAACTTCCACTTCTTTTGTGTGTTAGGAATGCATTGTGAGTTGTAACAGTAAATAATTACCTTTCTCGAGTAATTTGAGTTAATTTTGTATTTTCTCTGGAGGCTCTGATCTAATAATTTATTCACGTGTTAGCATTTTTATGTTGTCTTCTTCTTCTCCTAAGTTTAGGAGGTCTAGAGACACCACATTCTTATTAAATTTCCATTATGGGTGAAAGTGCAAGAACATGGGTCTTACGGTACAAATCATGTAAAGATTTGTGCAGTTGATGAATTGGCGATATTCTGCATAAAACAACTTAAACTTTCTTTTGCTTTATTCCCAGGCTTCTACCAACCAGGTATTTGGCTGGGATAATTTTGCTGTCACTGCTTTTGATATAACCATTCTGGTGAACAGTCCCCCATTTTAACATGTCAACAGCTTAGTGATGGAAAATGTAATTGGTACAATTAAAGAAAATTATTTCATGTCGACTGTGAATAACACTGTCGGGAACAAGGGGAGCTCTTTTGTTAGATAGTAGATTTTAAAAAACAAAACTGATTGAAATGGAAAATGTTTCTTCTTAAGCAAACAACCTCTAGAATTTTAATGATGCCTTTTAGGTTCTACTTTTTTAAAAAATTGCTTTCAGTCCTCTCCTCTCAGCAGCCCATTAGTTCTTAATGGAGAGTTATTTTAGTTTCTTTCTAATGTACGTTTTGGCTGTGCAGTTTGGTCTTGTAAACACCAGCTTAGTCCCAGCATCCAGTGTGGAGGTGGGCTGGGTAGGAGGGGAGCTAAGCTGGGAGGGTGAGGGGAAACAGGAAGGACATATTTTATTATGAAAGTACTTTGGAGACAAACAGACCTACATGTGAATTTTGGTCCTTCTTCTCTTTTTCTTTCTGTCTTAACTTGTAAGAGTTAATTAACTTCCTTTAGCCTCAGTTTCCTTATTTGAAAAGGATTGAGAGCAGTCTTTTCAGGCTCTTTGTCACAGTCTGAGTTAATACACCTGTTACAGTGCCTAGCACACATAGACATGGAACAAACGGGTACTGCGATAGGTATTATATAGTAACTTTTATCTCTCAGTAGTTGTCTAGAATTTCCTTGCATTTGTACAGCAAACATTCATAAATGGTTGACAAAGAAATGCATCTGTTTCAATTTGTACTACAAGATGCAAAAAACCAACCAAATTCAAGTTTTACGCTTAAATGCAGAATACTTGCTTCCCCCACCCCTACCAAATTGGTTAGTGGCTGAAAGACTTCCCATGTGAACACCTGGAAACAGAGGAGGAATGACTGAGCCCAAGTGGAGAGGGAGGGGTGGCTGCCCCCCATGCCTGACTGAGGAAGATCTCAAGCTGTGTTCACCTCTTCTTGCAGGATCAGGTCATCCAGCTCATGAACGCCATCTTCAGCAAGAAGAACTTTGAGTCGCTCCCTGAAGCCTTCAGCGTGGCCTCCGCTGCCGCCGCGCTCGCTGAGAATCGCTACCACGTGCCCGTGGTGGTTGCGCCCGAGGGCTCTCCTTCCTACACTCAGGAACAGGCTGTCCTGCGGGTATGACTGCCACGTCCCCAGGGTGCTGCTCTGATCACCTAACCCCCTTGAGGACAGATCTCTTAAATGAAGAGCAAATGGCGATGACCACTCGGTGAACTAGTCACAGGATCTTCTTTTTTTTTTTTTTTTGGAGTATTTGAAGTAGTACAGCTTTCCGTGAAGTGCTGGAAAATTGCACTTATGGATTCATAAGTCCAGATATGTAGAGAAGTCTTGCTTCTAAAATGTATTTTCCTACACCCAGACTTTCTAAATGCATTATTTAAGACAGCTTTCTTTAACATTGTTAAGATCAATGTCAGGTCTCTTTAGTCCTTGGAGCTGACAGTATATCTTTCTACTTCTTCATAACATAGCACTCCATCCCCTCAGCAGTAAGCACGGATGGTTGTGTGTGTTAACTGTCTGAACAGAGCAAAATGCACACACTTTTAAGAGTTTTCCATTCCAATGAGGCATTTGTTGCTATTGCTTGGAAACCAGTGAGAAGCTAAAATCTTCATAAGAAATACATGAGTTCACATAGGACTGTCCACCTGTCCCATCAGTTCTTGTGCTTTGCAGGGCCCTTCAGATACTCTCCAGGAGAAGTGCCCCAGACTCCAGAGTTGCCTCTTGTTCCCCTATGTATATGTCACGTCCCCTCAGCAAAGACTGGGGTGAGAACTCACCTGGGTAATATAGTTCACCATGAATCAGGGGAGCTAAGAAAGCAACGTAGAAACAGCACTGGCTTTTGAAGCTGGATAGCGTGGGGCTTCAGTCCTTAGCCATGTGGCCTTCAGCTGCCCCATACCGTCTTGTGGCCTCAGTTTCTTCATCTGTAAATTGAAGATTATACCAGCTGTCTCAGACGATTGGTGGTAGGATAGATACAAGTGCTTAGCCTGGTATCTGGCAAATAGTCGACTTTCAACAAATGACTGTTATTAACATTATCCATATTTCTTCAGTTTTCTCAATGCCCTTACCATCATAAAGCATTTTTCTTACTAATAATTTTTTTTTTAAGTACTATAGTAGAGCAGTAGAGTGGGAAGATCAGGGGACCAGAGAGAAAGAAATGTTAACTGTGTGATCTGAAGCCTTTCCCTAGACTTTGGTTTCCTTACCTGAAAGATGAGATCATTGGGTAAAATCATCTTTAAGATCTCCCCCACCCACAGATTCTATAATCTATGTCATTCCAAACTAATTGTGTTTTCCTCTGTTTTATCCCCCAGAGATAGTAGGCCACAGGTCAGAGACAGTTCCTGAAAATGAAATGTTTCTCCCCCAGCAGAGCTCACTCCCTCTGGATAAAGCTCCCACCCCTCGAAGCAAAAATCTATACTCCCTCAGCTTCTGTGGCTACAGATAATTTTGAAATGTATTTCCAGTTGCAGGTCACCAACGTTCTGTCCCAGCCTTTGACTCAGGCCACTGTTAAACTTGAGCATGCGAAATCTGTTGCTTCCAGAGCCACAGTCCTACAGAAGACATCGTTCACCCTCGTCGGGTAAGTCCTGAGCATATTTCTGTAGAGCACCGACATACTTGTTTTGGAAAGTTAGCTTGCAGCCGATATAACCCAGATCATAAAACCAAAGTTATCTACATTTAGGATTATGCTTTATTAATAACAGTGTATCAGGAACATTTCCCCCATAGGCTTAATATACTTCCATAGTCTTATCTTCAGTGCTTGTATATTATTGTTAGGTAATTAGAAAAAAATTAAGGGTTAGTTTTTATAGGAAACTTCTAAGTTTTGATAGTAAGTTAAAGTAAGATATGCCCTTTTTAGGAAATTCAAAAAGCACAGGAAAGTAGAAATAATACAGAAAATTACCTACAATTATACTACCCTACGCCAACCTCTTTGAACATTTCCACTTAAAAAAAAAAAATAGTAATTGGTATCCTACTATAGACTTACCTATTTTACATTTGACTGTGGAAGACTTACCCGAAGAAGGTGGGATTTTTAGGAGCTGGGAGGAGGGGTGGGTAGGGAGTAGAAAAAGAAGACTTTGGAGACTTGAACTAGAAGGTCATTTTAGGTGGTTTTAAAGTTTGCCCCTCATAATAATATGTGATTGAGCAGGAGGTGGCCCACGATGGGTGGGAAGTGGAAAAGTGAAAAAATGGTGCATCCCTGCAATGCTTCACTTTGCAGCCCGTTTGTTGTGTCATTTGTGATTTTCCTGTGTGAGTTGTCACTAACCCCACTGTCATTCTTAACAGGGATGTTTTTGAGCTAAACTTCATGAATGTCAAATTTTCCAGTGGTTATTATGACTTCTCTGTCAAAGTTGAAGGTGACAACCGTTATATTGCAAATACTGTAGAGGTAAGTGCTTTCTTGTCATCCCCATTGCCATGTTAATATACCCAAGGAAATGACCAGACAGGCACATGGCGTTAACCATTTAGGTGTGTTGACCTCACTTATGACCCAGTTAAAATGAATATGTTAAGAGAGAGGTAAGGTTTGAACTATGCTGTTTGACAGACTCAGCCAAGAACTTGATCATAGGCAGTTGCATTTGTCAGTTATTCATTTTGCATTGTAACTTAGCATTACTCTCTTACATAAAATTTAGGAAGTAGAAAAAATTAAAATCATCCCTAATTCCCCTGAGATATAAATATTCTTAAGATGTTTTCTGTGGTTGGCCTTGATAGATTTAGAAATGGGCTTGGTGCTAATTAAGGGGACCAAAAGCATCAAGTGGCCTGTAGCAGCATAGCGAGGCTATCTGGGTGAAGTACAAAGAAAATTGGTAATCCTTCCTAATGAACTGTGTTTCAGATGTCTCGAGTTGTGTTGAAGATCCAAGTGGTTTTAAGGGTGGAAAGCTCTGCCTCATCTATCTGATGCCTTGTGAGAATGAGTCATTTCACGTTAGCGGTTTTCTTAGCTAATTGACGTTGGCCCCTCCAGACACTGTGGCTTTCATTTTAATCTTTTTAGATAAAAGTTTATTGAAGATGAATTACACATTTTCCTACTTTCTTGATACAGTTTAACCTTTCTTATTTTGGCTTAGAGTCATCAGCACAAAAGCATGTGACATACACAGCACAGTTCTCTATGCTTTTGCTTGTATTATTTTATTCTTACAGTAGTCCTAACAGATGCGTGGAGTTCTTTTCCTTTCACTGATCAGGCTCAGAGGGGTAAAGTAACTTTCCAAAACCTCCAGCCTGTCTGTGCTTGCGTGAATCTCCTCCACAATGCTGGTTTAGTTACATGCCCTGGTGAATACTGAGCTAACTTAGAGGCTGAGACCTGTGTGCAGCTCTAGCTGCTGGCCTATTCATAATATTACTTTGTCTTTAGAGCTGTCATTTCTTCATGTTTCTGCCACTGTCTTTGTTGCATCTACTTGGCCACAGTGGTCCCACATTCTATTGGGCCAGGGGAACTTGAGTGCCTTTTCAGTAGTTATATATATGCTATTTGCAACAGCTTGTTTTCTTCACTATTCAAATGTAATTTTCCACTGACTTTTCTTTGTTAATTAAACCTTTTCATTTTGAAATCATTTCAATCTTAAATTGCAAAAACGGTGTGAAGAATTCCTGTATACCTATCCAGCTGCCCCAAATGTATACCTTATATAACTAATATGATTTCAATATGTGAAAATTAACACTGATACAATACTATTAACTGATCTGTGTAGACTTAATTCAGATTCCACTAGGTATCTTACTAATGTCCCTTTTCTGGTCCCGAACTCAGCCTGGGATCACATATTCCTTCAGTTGCCATGACCCTTTACCCTCCTCCAATTAGGGTATTTTGTCTTTTGTGAGCTTGACACTTTTGAAAAGTACTGGCCAGTTTGTACAGTGTTCCTCACTTTGGGTTTGTCTGCTGTTTCCTCATAATTAAATTCAGGTCATGCAAAAATACTTTAAAAGCAGCGTTCCTTCTCATTGTGTCCTGTTAGGAAGTATATGCTGTTGGTATGTCTCATTGTTGGTGATGTTAACCTTGATCTCCTGGTTAAGGTGGTGTCTGCTAGGTTTCTCTGTTGTAAAGTTGCTGTTTTCTCTGCTTTGTAATTGTCTGCTGAAGTGATACTTTGAGACTGTAGATACCCTGACGATTTTGCCTGCAAGAGTTATTAATGTGGTGTTTGCCAGTAGGTGATTTTTTTCTTTCTTTCATTCCATCTACATTAATTAGTTGGAATTTCACTGTAAGAAAACGCTGTCCACCTCTCCCTGTGTTTAGTTATTCACAGATACTTACTTTACTCTATAGGTTATAATCCGTTACTGTCATCATTTATTTTTTAGCTCATTTTATCCCAGATTTGGCCTTTGGAGCACTCCTCGGGTTGGCCCAGTGTCACTTTTCTTTAATGAAAGGACACACAGCTAGAAAGTTTGACCTTTTCAAAAGTGGGCCATTACTTAACACAGATTCAACATTTAGATTAAAAGTTTGGCAGAAAGGAGGATGTTTTCTGGAACTCTAATCTCTACCTCATGTCTGACCTTTTTAGGCAGGAGACATCTGATCCTAGTCCATTCACTAACACAGATTTGGATAGAAATTAATGTAGTGTGTGCCTTGAACCTTTTAAAAATTCAGATTCTTTCAATTTTAGTTTCCTTCTGTAAGGGGGCTTATGTTTGTTATTTGCAGCTGAACTCATTGAAAGGCAACTTTTTTTTTTTCCCTTGAAACCTCTTTCCTTCTACCTAAACAATCTTGATACCGACATACCCAATTTAAGTGCCATACCCATGCCTCACGGCCATTCTTAATCTTCCTCTTCCTTTCCACTTCTGACTTTGGTCAGTCACCAAATCCTGTTGAGTCCACCTTTAAATGGTTTTTATGTGATTCCTTTGTTCTTTGGTCCCACTTTGGTAGATCGCAAATAAGTAGGTAAGTAGTTTCCAGCAAGTTTCATTGTCTTTCGTCTCTTCCCCTTCCACTTCATAAGCGCCATAAACACCACTAGAATAATAAAAATCACAGTGTTCCTGTGGTTAAACATTTCCTTGGTTCCCTGTTGTGTATGAGTAAGGTCTAGACTCCTCAGTGTGGCTTTTGAAGGTCCTGCACGCAGGCACATGGGCATCCTTCATTGTGGTTGCATTCTCATCCGCTCAGCTCTAGCTGCTCGTGACTGCATACTGGTCCTCATCTATACTCTACGTTCGCATGCATTTGGACATCTGTTGTTTCCTCCATAGGGAATGTTCTTCCCCTCCATGGCTGAAGGACTCATCCTGGGATCTAATTCAAATGTTGCTCCTTCAGTGCTCCCTTAGAATTTTATTTTTATTTTTTCAGTTTAGACTATTTAAAAAATACAGAGAAGAATAGAGAATAGTATCATTGTTACATACCTACCAGCTATTCATCTCCCTCAAACCCAAACATTTTGCTATATTTTCTCCTTTGTTTTATTTATTTATTTTATTTTTGGCTGTGTTGGGTCTTTATTGCTGCATGAAGGCTTTTTCTAGTTGCAGAGAGTGGGGGTACTGTCGAGTTGTGGTAGGCAGGCTTCTCTTTGCAGTGGCTTCTCTTGTTGCAGAGCATGGGCTCTGGGGCACACGGGCTTCAGTAGTTGCAGCACACGGGCTCAATAGTTGTGGCTCCTGGGCTCTAGAGCACAGACTCAGTAGCTGTGGCTCACAGCTGAGTTGCTCCCTGGCATGTGGGATCTTCCTGGAGCAGGGATCGAACCTGTGTTTCCTGCATTGGCAGGTGGATTCTTACCACTGGACCACCAGGGAAACCCCTCTCCTTCATTTTGTTTTATTTTGGTAAGAAATAAAACCCTATAGATTAAACTTGAGCTCTCTGTACATTCCTCACTTTTTCTTGACTCTTTCCCCAGATTTGAAGTGTATATTCCAACGCCAGTTTTTACGTTTCTGCTACATAATGTATTTTTAAGTAGTATAGTGCATTGATTTGCATCTTCCCCAAATTTATATGCTTCATTGTGTGCATCCTTTTGCAGTTTCCTTGTTTTCACTCAATATTAATTTTATGACAGTTAGCCATATTTATGCATGTTGAACTTAGAGCTATATGTATAAATATGAATAATTTTCATAAAATTGTCTTCCTTTTATGAATGCGTTAGATTTATTAACTCATTTTCTGTTGTTGGGCACTTAGACTTTCACTGGTACAGAAGGTGCTGTTGTGAATATCCTAGTACATTTTTTCGTGCACATTTTATTTATCTGGAGTGAAGTTGTGGGATCATAGGGTATGCTCGTCTTCCAGCTTTCTTATGTTTTGCCAAATTGCTGTTTTCTTCATATTCTTATCAGTATCTGATATGATGAGTTTTTTCTGTTAAATATGAAATGGTATCTTGTTTTAATGTTTGTCTTTGGTTACTAGTGAGATGGAGCATATTTTCTTGTGTTTACTGGCCATTTAGATTTCTTCTCTGAATTGCCATGTATCTTTTGTCTTTTTCTTTTGGTTTGTTAGTCATTTAGTTATTGTTTTTTTTTTTTAGGCACTGCATATATTCTGAATCAGTATGTATTAGTAAATCCTTAGTTATAAGCATCAGATATAATTCCTTCATGTTGCTTTATGGCATCTTTTGATGTCCAGAAATTAGTTTCAGTGAAGCCTAATTTAAAAGTCTTCCCCCCCCCCCCCCAGATTGATTGTATTTTTTGTGTCGTCTTTAAAAAATTCTACATTGCTCCAAGATCCAAAAAGTATTCTCTAGTATTTTCTTCCAAGAGTTTTAAAGTTATTTTCCCCTTATATTAGGGCTTCAGTCTACTTGGCTTATTTTTGTTGCTATATAGTATTTTATACTGTGAGCATAATTGTTCTTACTGCGTTGTATTACCTACCATTGTTTGCTTGTAAGTATTGCTTTTTCATTGAGCTGGGTGCTCCCTATGGGCAGAGACCAACTCTTGTTTTTTCAGTGCTTAGCTTCCGTCTCAGCCCACTTAAGAGAAGAAAAGGATGGAGTGGTCTGAAGATTAAAAATGTTTCCCCCCATTCCAAGGTGCTTAGAACTGTGGTAATTAATCTTTTAGGGGTGAGCCTTTTATTCTATACAAAGCAGCTTTCTTTTTTCTTTCAAACAAGTTTTATTGAGGATATACCAGAAAAGTACCCATTAGAAGTATATAATTCAGCATCTTTAGTATATCTGGAGTTGTGTGGCCATCACTACCATCTAATTCCACAGCATTTTTATCACCCCAGAAAGCAACCCTGTGTCTATTTGTAGACATTCCTTCTTCTATAAGAATATATCCTCCTCTCTGTCCTGGCAATTACTGATCTACTTTGTATCTCTATGGTTTGCCTATCTGGGACATTTCCTATAACTGGAATAATACAATATCTTGCTTTTTGTGTTTTTAGCTTAGCATAATATTTTTAAGGTTCATTCATGTTGTAGCATGTATCAGTACTTTATTCCTTTTTATAGCTAAATAATTGAATAGTTTCTTGTGTGAATATACTGCATTTTTTAATCCATTCATCATCCCCACCATCCCCATTGTTGGACATGTGGGGATATTTCCACATTTTGGATATTATAAATGATGATTTGGTTAACGTTCATGTACTGGTTTTTGTTTGAACACCTGTTTTCAGTTCTTCTAGGTTTATGCCTAGGAATGAAAGTACTGAGTCATGTGATAATTGTACATTTAACTTTTTGAGGAACTGACACTGTTTCTCAAAGAAGCTGCACCACTTTACATTCCCACCAACAATGTATAAGTATTCCAATTTCTCTGCATCCTTACCAACTTTTGTTATTATTTTCTGTCTTTTTCATTTTGTCCCTCCTAGGTGGGTGTGAAGTGATTTCTTGTGAAATATGATTTGCATTTTTCTGATATCTAATGATGTTGAGCATCTTTTTATGTGCTAATTGGTTATTTGTACATCTTTTTTGGAGAAATGTCTATTCACATCTTTTCCCCATTAAAAATTTGTCTTTTTATTTCTTCCTTCCTAGTCTATATAGCTCTTGTTTCCTTTTCTTACTTCTCTGTCTTTTTATATTCCTGAGTTATGCGTTCTGTGTATATTCTTAATAAAGTTCTTTGTCAGACATATGATTCGCAGATATCTTCTCACCATCTGTAGATTGCCTTTTCCCTTTCTTAATGTTGTCTTCTGATGCACAAAAGGTTTTAATTTCAATAGTCCCAATATTTTTAATTGTTTCTTTCACTGAAAGAAACACTGACTTAAGTGCCATATCTAATCAACTGTTGCCTTATCCAAGATCATGAAGATTTGCTCCTATGTTTTCTTATAAGAATTTTATGATTTTAGCTCTTACATTTAAGTTTCTGATCCATTTTGAGTTAATTTTTCTATGTGGTGTGAGGTAGGGATCCAGTATCCTCCTTTTACATGTAGATGATCAGTTGTTCCAGCACCGTTTGTTGAAAAGACTGTCCTTTCTCTATTGATTTGTCTTGGCACCCTTGTCGAAAACCAATTGACCATAAATATAGAGTTAATTTCTAGACTTGTGGTTCTATTCCATTAATCTATACTTTTATCCTTATACCAGTACTATGCTGTCTTGATTGTTGTAACAGCTTGACTTTTTGTAACATCAAATTTGGTGTTTGTGCAAGTGTTTCTGTGGTTGCTGGAAAAATTAAATAAGTACAGACTAGCAGAAATGCCTTATAGCTCTGTTACTTGTGCAATGATAATAAGCTCCCATCGAGGCCACTGCTGTCCTTATTCTTCTCAGTGATGGAGTAAGTATTACAAATCTCCTCTCTTCTTCTTCATTTTATTAAGCTTTATGCGTGTGTGTGTGCGCATGCATGCTCTGACCTCTGTCACATACGCAACTTTACTTTGTAATTTCAGTAGTAGTCACACTTAGAACCTCAGAGTGGGTCAGCCGGTCCTGTTTACTCTTCTGAGAGATGCTTGACATTGGTCAGAGTGCATTAACAGTGGTTTGGTGTGGAAGGCCTGTAATAGCACTCATTGACATTGGACTTGCTGTCAGGGGAAGCATGGGTTTTAGAAGCTGTCATTAGCATTAATTGCTCCTAATGCACCATTATTTTTGACAGTAATGAGCTAAACCGGGAGGTTATTACTCTCAGCAGAAAGACTGCATTTCCTGGCGTTAAAACTTTTTGAGGTGTATGTGGTGTGCAGCACAGGCAAAGGAAGGACTGGTTGATTCACTGTAAAGCAGGCTTAGTGGCATTTAAAGTGGCTAAACAAGTCCCTTTCCTATTATAAAAAGACGAATCCTGCAGTGTTAGTTTGAAGGAAGGAGCAGGTAACCGACAGGGATCCTCCTCTGAACCCTTTACAACAGGGCTTTGAAGAAAGTTAGGGTGATTTTTATTTCTCAGCTTGCTCTGAGAGAGTAGCATAAAAAAGCTTTTCTTTTAAATGTTTCCAGAGACCCATTTGCAGTAAGATTTTAGGGGCAGAAGGACTTGTTTTAAATTGTTCCCTATTTAAGAGCAGCACTATGCTTTCTGTGCAACACAGGAAGCTGTAACTTGGGGGGCCTTTTAAAATTAGGGCTGCGGGCAAACCCAAAAGGACTGGAGTTCACTGCAGTTTGCCCTTTCATCATTCCATGTCTGTGTTGTGAATGCTTTTAAGTCTGCCGAACAAACACACAGCTGAATCTTGATTAGCAGGCCTTAGTGACCATGTTGTTTTTGAAAGCTTATAGTCAGGATTCTGAGTAAAAACCCGCAAGTTGATGGCTTCCTTATCACTATAATTAGGGTACATTGAGGAACCTTATACAAATCTTTAAACATCTGTTTGTGTTTATCCATCTGTTGAAAGGGAGAGCGATTGTTTTTTTAAAATTATATTTATTGGGTGGTACTTTTTAACACAAAACTGTTTATAAAGAAGAAAGTATTTTTCACACAGTATCATTGCTCAGGTAAGCCCTATTTTTTAAAAAAAAAGGAGTGGAATATGCATGTAGTTTAAAAATTCAAAATGTAAGAAAGTATGTAATGAAATATAAAAGCCTTCTCTCATCCCTTCTATACAGTCTCTCTCCTTTAATAACAGTTAACTGTATTTACTTTGAAAAAGAAGAATGCCCATATCATTGAATTGTATGCACATTCTTTCTTACTTACACAAAAGCAATCATTCTATAAGCAGTTATATTCTTTGCTTTTGTTACAAAGTAGAGGCTCCAGCTTATCCCTTGGGGTCTGTTCAGCTTCATGTCCTCCCCCTACTCCCCACCCCCATGCTTCCCTGCCGTAATTCAGCCAGTTGCCAGAACTCAGTGACAGGTGATGTTAAATATAATCCTGCCAATCGGTGGCCATGTATTCAAAAGTAGGAGATATATCTCTTATCTGTCCATAGATACCTACCATGTTCTTTTTAATTGCTCCAGAGTAATTTGAAGTGTACATGAATATCCCATTATTTATTTAACTAGTCTCCTGTTTATGAGAAAAAAGAAAAAACTAGTCTCCTGTTTATGGACATTTAGGTGGGATTATGATTTTAAAAACACACTTACAGATTAAATGAGTCTGTAAGAGAGTGAGAAGTGAAGAGGGAATTATCTAGTTAATGTTGATGAAGATTGCAGAGTAATTACCTATGAAAACAGATTATCTTTATAGCATGGAGTGGTTGCTCAGGTTCTGCTTCTCCCTAAACTGGAGGCCTGCCTAAGCCCTCCTGCTACCCATTTCCCTCCCCATCCAAGGGCTGCCGACTTGGGTCACCGATCCTCCTGCTGTGCTTCTGTAGCACTTTGTCCCTCCCTCCACCAAAGCAGCAGCCCGCTCTGTTGTAATTTAGCTTTGCCTGTATGCTTCCCTCTGGGACAGGAAGTGCATCTCACTGTCTCTGTCTGTCCCTGCACCTGGGTGCTCCAGATGCTCTCAGGGGTTGTGGGGAAGTGACCTCAGTGGGGTGTCTTGCTAATCAAAGCTCGTTGACTACTTTGCTTGAGCCTTCCACTCCAGGTTTTCTTCAGATGAAAGTGCTGTCAGTGCCTCTCTGGATTGAGCTTTCTAATAGTAAAGTTGGCTCTGGTTCCGAGCCCTGTATGAGTTGTGAAGCTGTTTGCTCAGCAGAGCACCCAAGAGCCAAAGTAGAGGATTCTAGTTCTATCCTTGGTGGTTTATTCAACTTGAAGACCAGTGGTTCCCCTCCCCCTACCATAATTCACCCTGTTGGCCAGATTCAGTAACAAACTATGATGCTAAATATATTTCTGCCAATAGGTGCCTTTGTATTCAAAAGTAGGAGATAATAATATCCTTATGGCCTTTGGTAATAAATCTTTTATTAGGGTTTTCTTTTTTTACTTTTTAAGCAAAACAGAACACCCCCCATTCAACCTGATAATTGAGGTTATTGTCAGAAAATAGTTATTATGGAGGCAGGAGAGAGGCTGTTAAAAAGAATTACTTGATAGCTCTCTTTATCCCTTTTTAGTTTCTCTTCTTTGCCCTTGATTTGAGGCTGTCACACCTTCATAGTATGTTTGAGAAAAATGCTGAAGCTATGTTTCAGTTATTTGCCCAGACTTCTCTCTCTGTTCCTTCATCCCGACTTAGGCTGTAAACCAGTGGATTTGACAAGGATTACCTTAAGCATTACATTCAAGTTTTTCAAATATTTGAAAGTCTCACAGATACGTTTACACATTAGAAGTGCTTTGGGATTGTGTAATTTGCACATTCTAACATTGATTTTAAACAAAAATTTTAAATAAAAAAGTTCCCCTGAGTAGACTTTTAGCATGTTTTCTCTTTTGGAAATTTACATTTATTTGAATCTAATTTTGTTTTTAATTTCTTGCTTAATAGCATTGGCTAGCTCCTCTTTGTGAAAATGTTTATAAGGAATGTATAGAATTTAAACACTGAAAGAATCAAGAGGGATTGGTTATGCTTGTAACAAACTCCAAATCTCAGTGGCTTAGAATTGAGTACTTGTTAATTTAAATTATTTGAAGTTTACTACTTAAGGACTTTTTACCCCCTTATTTTTTTTAAAGTACCTGTGAAAAGATCTACTTTGTTTCTTTTCATTTCTTTTAAAATATATACCATTCATCCAAAGCCAAAGAATGGAAGATGGGATAAGAATCAAGGAGTTACTTTTAGGCCTCTGGATTGTAGAGATTGAAATACTGCCTAGCTGGGTCAGTTTTACTAAAATTATTGGAGATTCCTGTCCTAGGATTTTTTTCATGCCTTGCCTCACCAGTAAGAGAAAACGCTGGATATGTATGTTGATTACTGGCATATTCACCAGTTGACTTGACGATTTTCTTCTGTATTTCACCCGCAGCTCAGAGTTAAGATTTCCACTGAAGTTGGCATCACAAATGTTGATCTCTCCACTGTGGATAAGGATCAAAGCATCGCCCCTAAAACAACGCGGTAGGTGGGATGCCTCTTGGGCCCAGGGGGAGCCTAGGCTTGAGCTGGGAGGACCATGCCAAGGCCCTGAGGCTCTCCAGATGTCTTTGCCGTGTCGGCAGTGACTCAGCTTGTACTCCAAATTAAGAGGCTGTTATTCTTCTGGGACTGCACCAGGGGTGCTGCTTGGCATCCAGACAAACTTGGGGTTTGTCTGTATTGGCAATCAGTCCCTGAACAAACTATTAACAGTCCACAATTTGAGAAGGAGCTCGCCTCAGAATGTAAGTCTGCGTCAGACTTATTCCCAAACACACTATTTAGTTCAGATGATAATTAAAAAAAAAAAAAACTTTATTGATGGAGGAAGCAGTGTATTAATTTATTTTCTGGTATTATCTGTTTTTCCTCACAGTCTTAAACTTGCTTTTAGGGTCCTCATGGCCACACTCTGTGGCCCACAGTGGGTCTGAAATCAGTTGTATGTCTCATAGGTCCTTAGAGATGAGATGGCAGGTCCCCAGCGCTAGGGCTAGGATTCCTTTCCTCCAGTCCATGGAGATCACTGATCAGTCACAGCATTGGTGATTGTGGAACTCAGCATCTTTTTTAGCACACACTTCTAGGTCACCATTAGTAATTGATCAGAGTTGGTCCGGAACATTGTATGAAGCCCACTTCTTAGTTCTCTTCCAGATCCTTGGTAGAAGGCCCATCTAGACCTCTTGGTAGAGTTCAGACCCCAAGTTTACTCAACTGGGGTGTCTGTAAATACCACAAAAATGAGGGGGACCCTCAAGGTCATTTTGAAAATGGAATGTTAGCCAGAGACTAGAAGCCAGGCATTCATTCCTTTTAAGTCATGTGAAAGGGCTAGGCTTTCTGTCTCTGGCTTGGATATTTTTATAGTGACATTAGAAATGAGAGCACTGTTGAGAACCCACTGAAATGATGTCTGTAAGAGTGCTTTCCAGAGTTTAATGCTCTATATGGATGAAGAGTTGGTATTACTCATAAGTAAATAAGCAGGAAATATAGCCAGTTGTGAGCTCTATAACCATTTGGATTGTTTTTTTTATCCCCCGGCCATCCTAACCTAAAATCCCAGGGGATAACTGAGAAAAAAGTTTTCTCATCACTCCTGCCTTTGGGGAAAATGACTTTTTAAAGCTCAATTTCAGGCAGAAAAATAAATTGAAACAGTGTGAAAGGAAAAAAAAATGCAGCATTAAAAAAAGAAAAAGCTGTCAGTAGCCCTCATTCTTTTGTATCTTCCACCTCCTGGTCTTCCAACCATGCTCACATACACTGCTAATGTCCGTCCTGTTAATTTTTTTTTTTTTTTTAATGTTTGTGGTTCTGCTAGCCCAGCTTTCCAGTTAGCCCTGGAGCCTCCAGTGGGGCGTGTGAGTCTCTCTCACGCTTGGCTTGGTTGAATCCTTAGATCCTTGAAGTGAAAGCCTGGAGACTCACACGTAGCATTTTCTCCAGACCCTGATGGAAGTTGATTCTGTGCTTTTTTCTGTCTTAGCTTTATCAGTCCCATTTGCCCTCAGGCTGTAGATAGGTCTCTCTGCTCTGTCGACCCCAGAAATGTTACAACTGAGAGACAGAGTTGGGAGAGAGAGGATTAGGCAGTGAAGCGAAGTTGGTCTCCTTCCCTCTGTTCTCAGAGATCTGCAGATCCTCTCTGAAGACTTACCATATAAATGTCTCTTTCAGGGTGACCTACCCAGCCAAAGCCAAGGGCACATTCATCGCGGACAGCCACCAGAACTTTGCCTTATTCTTCCAGCTGGTAGATGTGAACACTGGCGCTGAACTCACCCCTCACCAGGTCAGGAAAAAGCCCAGACAGTTCTCTTGTCCTGAAACCTTGATGTACATGATAGTTGTGTGGACGTGGTATTTAACACCAAGTCGAGAAAATTTTGAATTCCTGCTTTCAGGTCTTCACTTTAAAACCTCACAGTCCATCAGGTTCCCCTGTGACACTTTGCCTATTTCATACTGGGTGTAACCCTGAACCTGGAATGCATTTTTCTTTTAGAGATTAGCTGGTGTAGGAAAGATATATTTAAGGCAGATTAGCATTTAATTGAAGCTTTTTTCTTTCTGACTATAATAAAAACATGTATTGAAATAATTTTGAAAAAGGAAAACTTAGGCAGTGTACCCAAAGTATGTTTTGCTCTGGCCAAAGCAGATTTTCTCTCTTGTAAGAATCTGAAAACTAGCACTTTTTTTTTTGGAGCCCCCCAGTTGGAAGTTCAGAGTCTTAACCCCTAGACCAACAGGGAAGTCCAAAAACAGCACTTTTTAACTTGTGCCTACTATGATGAAAGCGATAAGCTTCAGTTTTGTCTTCCATATGTAAAATAATGATTATTATTGAAAAGATTCTCAAACCATATCTTTTTCCCGGAGAATCTGATATGGCTTTTGTCCTCTCAGACTCCCTCCTTTCCTGCCTCTGTCTTCCCACTTGATTGGGAATAGCTGTTCTGTGCCCTGCCTCATCCACGGTTGTATTATAAAGAGAAATCCCTGAAATACTTTGAGTGTGGAAAAATAGGAAAGAACCTGGACCCTAGTGGCCTTGGCTTAGGTACTTTGTAGTAGCCCTTGAGTTGGAGCTAGCAGACCTAAGTCCACACAGAGAGGCAGACCATGCAGGTGAGTGGATTTACTTGGAAACCTTTTTGCTTTCTGTTTCTCCTGGCTACAGCTGCTGCACTTGTGCCCAGGCCCAGAGTGGTTGCCCCTGGCACCACCGTCCCCGCCCTTCTCAGCTTCTCTCCCCTCCACCCCGTCTCTAGAGAGCTAGGTCAGCCCCACTTAGCCATGACTATTGTTTCAACTCCGTAGCATCTCCCAGGTCCTCCTCAAAATGACACTTGCCAATGAAAGCCCAAGAGAAGAAAGAATATGAAGAGAAGTCATTATTATACAAGACAAAATTGGTGGGATTAGGATTAGTGCAGGAGGAGCTTGTGAGGAAGTAAAACTTTAACTGAAGACTTGTCTCGTCCAAGATCCTAGAAAGCCTGGCTTACAGACCTCCTAGGTAGAGATGGCATTTTGCGGGTGAGCCTGGCTGCTTGCCTGTGCTTGGCTGTGACAGGAGGAAGATCATGCATCCAGGCTCCTAAATCCCATCCTTGGCCACAATTGCAGGAACCAAGAGGCTTCACAACTCTGGGTCTCTTTTCCTGAATACTTTGATGGTTGTTGTCTGTCGCCCAGGTGTAGAGTAATGAATGAGATTTAGATTTTTTTCTTGTGGACCCAGCACTAGCTCGGTGCCCACGGCAACTCATTTAATCCTCCGTGCCTTATGATCTGTAAAATGGAACCACTCTACCGGCTTTATTGCATTCTTTATTTGGAAACTTCTGAAAGCAAAGCTGAGTGAATATTAAGTTTTGCTGCATCTTATGTGCAGAAACCTTAGTTTCTTATGCCATTGTGGGGATAACATGATTAGATTTATATCATCATGTTGATAAATGTTTGTTGACTAGATAGTGTATAGCAGGTCCTATGCTAAATGCATTGTGTACTTTATTGTGAGTCTTCATACGGATACAACACGTGTAGAAGTTAAATCTGTCTTAAAGCTGAAGAAATCAAGGCTCTAGGAGATTAAATAACTTGCTCAGCTCTTAAGTAGTGAAATCAGATCTGCCTGTCTTCAAGCCTGGGTTCTCTCTGACACTGGGCTGCCCTGCATGATGAGAACTCTGCCTTGCCATCCATCCCCATGCCTCCTCTCCTAAATCTTTAGCTGGAGGCACTAGGAAATTGAAAATGGGCTTCTTACAGTTTCACCTCATTTCCCTTCTTTTCACCCTCTAGTGAAGAAGTTAATTGGGCAGCAAAAGGCTGGCAGGAAGAGGAAATTACAGCCTCAGCAAAGGGCTTAAATCATTCACAAACTGGGCACTCGGCCTACGAGTCGTTGAGATTTGGCCGGACCCCTAAGTTAAATTTCTTGTACTCACAAAAAGTACTCTCTGATCTCAGAGCTATAAGCAGGGTGGGGTAGCTGTTCCTCCTGCTTTCTTAGACAGGCCTGGCTGACCCCAGAACTCCCACTGGGACAGAAGAGCTGCCAGCCTGCTGCCTCAGGGATTTGGGCCCGGAGGGAGTTTTGAAATCATTAGATGAAAAGTTGCGTTATTATTCCATCCAGACATTTGTCCGACTCCACAACCAGAAGACTGGCCAGGAAGTGGTGTTTGTTGCAGAGCCGGACAGCAAGAATGTGTACAAGTTTGAACTGGACACTTCTGAGAGAAAGCTCGAATTTGACTCTGCATCTGGCACCTACACTCTCTACTTGATCATTGGAGATGCAACTTTGAAGAACCCAATCCTGTGGAATGTGGTATGTGCCTCCATGTATGTTCACCCAGATAAGAGTGGCCATGCCGCAGTCAGACAAAGATGGCCCCGCTCCAGGGTGTGGGCTGTCTACCTGGGCCTCTCCCATGCCACCCAACGGCCCATAAATAAGTACACATCATGCTGGTCCCATTAGTAGTCTTAGGGGCGTGCACATGGCCTGGCTTGCATGTCATAGGGGCTTCCTAAATAGTGATTGAGTGAATGAATGAATTATATAGATTTGCCCTAATGGGTTGTAGCACATTTCTTTAAAAGTTGTACTTGAAGAAGATTTTCATATTACAGGCAAAAACACTGCAGGGGATACACAGATATAAGAGATAAAGGCTCTAGCTTTTGAGGTACAGTGTGCCCTTGCAGGGTAGGCTGGGGAGGGGCCTGAGATTTGAAATCTAGTTCCAGTTCACTATGGTGTGGACTAATGAATTGCAGGCTATTCTAATAACTGTCTGGGATAACCGGGATAAACTAATAGCCTTCATCTGCATGGTGTGTTCATGGTTTACACGGTGCCTTTCACTTACATAACTCACTTTGGACTGGTTGGGTGAGAGGAGGCTTCTTAAAAGACATGACATTTGAAGCAAGGGTTGAAGAATTGCCGGGGTTTTTCAGGATTGTATCCGAGGGGCTGTCGGATGATCACTGGGGGACAGCCTCCAGGAAAGTTTGAGGTGCTTTCAGTGAGATATGAGTGGATCTGCTTTGCTGGAGCGCCTGAATCTGGTCAAGAGCAGGAAGCAGTGAGGTGGGGAAGGTAGCAGAGGCCAGATTCCAGGCCTTGAATGGTGGGTGGCTCCCTGTGCAAGACAAAGGGGCAGCTGCATTTTCTTGTGTTGTATTCAAAGCTCCTTTTCTTCTCGGATTTTGGGCTGCTTTTTGTATGAGAGCACATTTTCATTTCTTTTTCTTTTTTTTCTTTGTCTGAGACTAAATTTTACTTCCCCAGGAGCAGTTTCTGATTGCTACTGTAACAGCCTGAGTACCAACTGGGATTTTTGTATTAAGCAGCTCTGTGGGGCTCACCAGACCAGTAGAAAATTGGAACTCTTGCTCTAAAAAGCATTTTCAACAAATACTTATTTTGTTCTTGAAATTTTTACTGCCTCAATTTGTTGGCTAATGGCTCAGAAGTGATTGGACTACTTGGAGCTCCTTTCAGTCACTCTCCTGGATGGGAGTTGGGAGATACTGTCCTGCTGATGAGTTTCACCCCCTTCTCTGCCCCTGGGCCTTTCATCACTGCTTTTATTGTTTCAGGCTGATGTGGTCATCAGGTTCCCTGAAGATGATGTTCCGTCAACTGTCCTGTCCAAGAATATTTTCACCCCCAAACAGGAAATTCAGGTACATCCCAAAGGGCTTTTTGACTGAACACAGAGGAGAAGTGGCACATGGGAGAGGGCAACAGAGCCCCAGGCACTGGCTGTGAGCCCCGTTTAGCCTGTTTACATGATGTGCTGCAGCTTGGTCTCTGCCACCCTGCGGATCAGGCAGGGCCGATACCAGCTCCATCCTGGAGCTTAAAAAAACAGGCTCAGATTGCCTGCTGGCCATTTCCCAGAAAGCAGATAGCTAGAGACAAAATCAGAACCTGAGTCTGTTTTTCCTAAACATGCAGGAGGTTCAGTCCTCAGATCACTGCTTGAAGCCACAGCACAGATGGGTCTGGCTTTGCTCTTCCATGTTCCTGCATAGACCAGGGCCGATGGGGCCCACAGGTGGGCAGCTCAACTGGAGCACAGGGCTTTCACCCCCTCGGCCAGCCCTTGGTCTCTCCCGGGATTCACCTTCCTTGCACACAAATATTAGAAATCCCTGTCAGCCCAGTACCTGGGACTGTTGTGAGGCTCAAATAGTTCCCAGATAAGGAAAGAATAGCTTTGAAAAGTTTCTAAAGCAGTGTACAAAATGAGCACAATAATTGTTAAACAGTTGGAGCCCTGGTTAAGGAAACTGAGTGGATCCACTCAGTGGACTGTTTTGGAGTCCTCGGAAATGATTACACTGCAGTAACAGGGAAACTCAACATCTGAAATAATGTTGAAGTGTTCCAAGCAGACTACTGACTCTTACTCCACTGTTAGAAAAAGGCCAAGGGCCCAAAAGGTAGAGTAGTAGGATTCTTTTTAAAATTCCTCTTGATGTTGCTATAGCATCATTTAAGAATGTAGAATGCAGTTAAACACTTTAAGGTATAACCATGATGACAAAGGGTGCTGACTGATTTTGTAGGGTGGGGTAGACAGTAGGAGCTGCCACAGGCCATGTTAGAAGTCCCTTCATGGCAGTGGCAGCAAAGAGGAGCTGAGGTTAAAAATTTGGGAATAGGAGTCTCACATGGAGCTGCCTTGTCATGGAGCTGGGTTGGCTGGACATTGGCAAGCAAGAAAATTTCAAAATACACCAGTTAGCTAACTTAAGTCAGTTAGCAAAATAGGATGACACCACCCTGGGAACCCAGAAACATTGTGAAATCCATCGTCCTGCATGGGATGTGTCACCCCAGCCATCCAGATGCTTGGGTACCATCTTTATTACCAGGCGGATGCCGCTTAATAGGTTGCATCCTCTAGCCTCTAAATGGCAATGCGTTTTGGAAGGGAAAAGAGACTTGGGCAGTCGTGAGCTGGGACTGGTGTAATGTCCCTGGAAGGAGACCAGTGGGAGCAGAAGCCAGTGTTGGGAAGAAGGAAAAGGCTAACTGGGTGCTCATGGCCAGGAAGTCTCAGCCTCTGGGAGACATTTCCTTCTCTTGACTGTCATGGGGGTTTTGGCTCCTGGTATACATGGCAGCCCCCGCTAGGAAGAGCACACGGTAGAATATTCCTGGTGTGTCTTCTTTTGGCAGCACCTGTTCCGTGAGCCTGAGAAGAGGCCCCCCACAGTGGTGTCCAATACATTCACCGCCCTGATCCTCTCGCCCCTGCTCCTGCTCTTTGCTCTGGTGAGTTGCTGTAATTAGTATGGGCAGCATGTGTCTGGCGCCAGACTCCACAGATGTAGCCGTTCCAAAGGAGACTCTGTGCTCTGGCCTCAGCACAGCTCCAAAGGGGTCCAGCAACTGTGACCCGAACCGATGGTCCAAAAATTTTAGAATAAATAAAATTACCTACTATAGGGGAGCTGCCAAAAAAGCTGATCCCTTAACAAGGGGCATGAGATAGTACCTGGTAGCTATTATAAATGGTCAAAATATGGACACGGATGCTCCGTACAAATGTTCAGATGAAGCCAGGTGTGAAAAAAGCAAGACCTGATGCTGATAGCTGTAGAAAAAATGAGTACAGAGGCTGTGCATTTCAACACTCTTTGGAGCACAAAACTATAAACAACCTAAAGTTCTCATAAAAGCAAGTGTTAAATAAATTATGGTACATCCACACAATGGAATAATATGTAGCTCATTAAAACAATGGATAAATTTATGTACTTGTCAACTGATATGACAAGGTTGTTAAAAATGTCCTATTGAGTGAAGAAGGCAAGTGGTAAGATAGGGTGTTTAGTATCATCTTCTATGTTTAAAAACCTTAAAAAGGCATTAACTATTGGTGTTAGGCACCTCTAAGGCAACCCACTCCAGTTTTCTTGCCTGGAGAATTCCACGGACAGGAGCCTGGTGGGCTACAGTCCATGGGGTCACAAAGAGTCGGACACGACTGAGCGACTAATACTATACTAAGGAGAAGGCCTTTTAGGGAGTATAGAGGAAGGACATTTTTACCATTTTAACATGCTATTTTAATATTTTTTTTAACCATCTCTTTTTCCCCTTGTCTCTTTAAAAACTATAAACATAGATGCAGATCCTCCAAGTTCAGAGAATTTTGAGAACCGTATGGAAAAATCATTAGATCTTACTTTTGGAACATTGCCGATGTTCCTAATCGTCTGATTTTAATGAAAGAATTATTTCTCAGTCAAAATCTGAAAGGCATGCCACAGGCTTTCAGAAACGTATCCTAGGCACCTGTTACTTGAGTGATCAGAATTTCAAAAGGCAAAGAACCCATAGTGTGAGCGCACCTCCTCCCAGCTGCCAGTGGGTTTATCATACCAAAACTTAGAGACATTAGCAGGGATGCCAGTTACTTCATTATCAATACAGTTTTGGACCTTTCAGTTTCATGGCTTCACCTGTTTTAAAATAGAAAAGTTTGCTGTCATTAAAAATGATTTTCAAGCACTTTTGCAAACAGGTGTTGGAATGCCTTTCTAAAGAAAAAAAGGGAATGGTTTTTCCTTAGGATTTAGAATAGAGTGGTTGTCACTAGGAGAAATTCCCTGTCCTTCAAGTCTGTATGAATTTTGAAGCCCTTAGGGCTGTTTTTTTGGATTAGCATGGCACAGTGTGGGTTGCCTCCCTTTCAAATTCTAATGTCTTCTTAATTTATTTCTCCCCATCTTTCAGTGGATCCGGATTGGTGCCAATGTCTCCAACTTCACTTTTGCTCCCAGCACGATTGTCTTTCACCTGGGACATGCTGGTAAGCGCCCCCGGCTGCTAATTCCATTTAACCTCCTTTGACATTTCGCCTGCCCACGCAAAAGCCCTGTTAAGTAGACCCACAACCTATTAACTATAATGACTTAATAGCATAACATTTCCCTCTTCCTCCTGGCCTTTTACGACAGTTAATATGATGATAAACCTGTTTGGCCCATCAGCTTAGAACAGCTGTCATTATATCGGGTTTCATTGTACGAAGCTGCCATTGGCAGGCCATTTTACCCTCAGTTAATAGCTCTGTTCATTTCCAGAGATTACTCACTTATCGCATCTTTACGTTGAGCCATCTTCCTGGATGGAGAGCATTAATGCAGTTTCCAAAGGTTATCTTCCCCCACCATATCGATCTTCACATTTGCTGGCGGCTGTGTCCGGACAGTAATAGAAAACAGTCCTTTCCACAATCAAACACGCTGTCCTGCATTGTCCTCTAGAGAACTTAGGACCTAAACGTTACAAGACAGTAAATTCACAAATTAGTTAGGCGTTTCAGAAACTTTTCGATACTATTGGATTGGTGGCCCCTGCATTTCACCAAGACCTCAATATTCTTTTCTGGTTTCTTTGACTTCTGTAGGAGCCCTCCTATACGTTTCTGTAGTGTTCAGATTCCATAGGGGTCCATAGATGAACCCCTTGAAACTCTAGGCATATGTGTATCTCTGTTTTCCTGGGGAAGGAGAGAGTCTGTTTCTTTGATCAAAATTCTAACAGTGGTCTGTGATCTCAAAAATGGCTAAGAACCCCTGCTGTAGTTCATGCGTCATCCTTCTGGGCAAAATTGACAGGATGACCTTTCTCTCCAGCCCAGTTACTGAATTTGAGTGATAGCCCTCCCGGGTCAGGGAGAACAAAGCTTGAATATAAATTTGTTTAGAGCCATGACTTGTGCCAGAGTGCTTTTTGTGCACATTCCCTCATTTGACTCATCACAACCCTGATGGGGGTGACCAGGGCAGGAGTTAATGATCCTGGTTTGACGGGTGAGAGAATTTTGGCTCAGAGAAATTAAGTGTCTGTGAAGGGCAGAGGCTGGGTCAGAACCCAGGGTTCTCAGTGCCCAGACCTGAGCTGCTTTTTTTTTTTGTAATATCTTTTTTTTTTTTAATATGGACCATTTTTAAAGTCTTTATTGAATGTGTTACAACACTGCTTGTGTTGTTTATGTACTGGTCTTTGGGCCACGAGCCATGTGGGATCCTAGCTCCCTAATCAGGAATCGAACCCGCTCCACCTGCTTTGGGAGGTGACGTCTTAACCACTGGACCACCAGGGAAGTCCCTGGACCTGAGCCATTTGGACTAAATCCTCCTCCTGTCTTCCTTGCTTCCTTCCCAGTCTCAATGGCAAATTAGCCTTAATTTTTTTCCCCCTATTTGTTACTTTTAGTAAAAAGGAAAAGGATTTATTTCTTTAATCCTGAGGGCTTTCATTCAGAATTTGAAAAATCAGCGGAATCCCAAATTACTAGGTTGGCCCAAAAGTTCATTGGAGGTTTTCTAGACGATGGTACAGAAAAATCCAAATGAACTTTTTGGCCAACCCAATATAACCTGACAGTAACTTTAAAAAACAAATACAAAAAAAAAAAAAAATACAAAACCATCGTTTAAGAACAAAGATGCAAAAACATGGAACCAGATCACTGAGATCTGGTTCTTACCTCCGAATTTCTTGGCAGCCAAGCCTGAGAAGCAAGTATATTGAGTTACGTATTTTCTGGCATCAGAGGAAAGGAATAAAACCAGCTGGTCTATAAATACAAACCTTTTCGGGCTCCGCAGTTACTGGCTTCTAGTTAGTTGTCTTCTGCCCTGGGCAATGTCACTATTTGATTCAATTGGTTCTCATGACGCCTGTCCTTATAGCTATGCTGGGACTCATGTATGTCTACTGGACACAACTCAACATGTTCCAGACCCTGAAGTACCTGGCCATCTTAGGCAGTGTGACGTTTCTGGCTGGCAATCGGATGCTGGCCCAGCAGGCAATCAAGAGGTAAGGTTGGGGACAGGTCAGGGGCCCAGAGTGGACTAGAAATAGTTTTGTCAGCTCCGTCCACCCAGCTCTTTGAACCAACAGTATGTGGTGAAAAGATTCATATCCTGAGGGGCCATTGTGACACCTCAGTCCAGCCTGAAACAGAAGCCTTTTAAATCAGAAACGAGTTGCGATGATAAGCTTTAAAGATATTAAAACCACAACAGTTTATGCCCTGACATATTAGAATGAGAGAAGAAAATAATTGCATCATGAAGATTAAAGTGAATCAGGACAGGTGGCAGAAGATTGTAGTTTAAGTGCTGGCTGTGTAACCATTTTCTCCTCTGCCGCCACAGAGAATCCTTCTCCACGCTTCTCCTGTGCCCCAGAGAGGGACTTCTCTGTAACCCCAACAGCCTTCCCGAGCTTTTCCTCCTAAGCATGAGGTCCGTGCTCTTCCCCCCCAGAAACAGCATTGGGCTTTACAGAGGCAGCTGGCAGGGAGCACCACTCAGAGGCCCTCATCATGTCCCCGAGAACCAGACAGCTTCGGTTCACATGAACGGTCAGGGCCCAATGTGATGGCAGCTGGCTGGCAGCTTGACTTTGGAACTTGGATTAGAAGTAAATTTAAATGTCTCATTGGTGTTTCTCATTGATTTGACTTTATTAGAACTTGGGTGATTTCAGCCATATAAAGGTCAATAGGAAAAGGTCAGAATTGCTTTCACCTTTGGAAGTTAGCATTTTCAGACGTGCCCTGCATCCTCCTCTCCAGGACTCTTGCTAGAAGAATGTAACTTAGTACCCTTACTGTACCCTCAGTGCAGCTGCTGGTTAAGTTGGGCAGATCAACAGCGTGGCTTTCTCAGAGACCATATGCATGGGAGAGCCACATGTCTCCTTCCTGCCCGGGTATCCATCGTGAGTGTTCTGAGGGCCTCCCCGGGGATACTGGCCCAGGGTGCTCCCTGCCTCTCCTGGGGTTGCCTGCATTCTGCTGGGGCTTCCCGGAGCACCAGCAGTGGCAGCTGGTTCATTTCTCAGCCCCTCCAGCAGCCTTAACTTGGCAGCTCTGTGCTGCATCTGAGAGATCCAGGGGCTCAGCTGTTTCCTCTCAGCAGAGCCCTGTTCTCTCAGAGCAGCCCGTCTAGACCCCCGGGAGCCAAAAGGCTGTCCTCTGCCGAGCTCTCTCTTTTCTGGAAGTTGCTCACACAAGACGAACAAGATTGAGGGGAGATGGGAGTGGAAACCATTTGATTTAGATCCCATGCAGCAGGAGTTCCTAATACAGATAAAATAGAGTACATTTTCTGGGGAGGAAGACCATGGTTCTCATGCCTCCTCCATCCTATATAGAAAGTTACAGCTGTCTGTTTCTCTCTTCATGAGTTCAAGAATCAGGCTGTGCCCCTGGGGAAAGCGGTGACATTAACAGAAGCTCTCGGTTGGTTGTTTGCCATTTCTTTCCTCAGCTTATTTCTCTTCTTACTGTCCTTTCTTGACTCTCAAACCTCTTTCCTTTGGCAGGATCGCTGCAGAGCAGAGCAGTAGATTGGCAAAATATAGGACACTACGGTAAAGAGGAGGGGCACTCAACCCAGGAGCAGGGCCCCTTTTCCATCTTGCCCACGTCCATGCATGTCACTTAGCTATTTTCAGCGCACTTCTTCCTCCCCACCCCTCCCTACCTCAGAGCTGAATTCTGAGGCTGTTTCCCCACTTCCTGGACCAGGGAAAGGCCAAAGCCCCCGAGTTAGCCTAGCTGTGGTAACTTGGCCGCGGAGCAGCCTGGACCTGGCTTTGACTGTAAGGCTTCCTCCTCACTTGGGTCCCACAGGTACTTCATAGACACAGCCCCTCTCTGTGTTCATAGGAGAGCAGAGTTGAGGAAAAGACTGATGTAACTTTAGGACTTCCTAAAGGGGACCCTTCCCACCCTCCATTCAGGACATCTAAATTCATTAAATGATAGTCCCATGGAAAATCCCGGCACACCTGGTCACCGTTCTAGGCCTTTTTGTAGTATTATCCTCTGGTTGGGCCAAACAGTGGGGTTTGGTAAGACACTAAATTATGAAGACTGATGGCCACAGATCAAAGCCAGCATCCGAACTCATGTTCCTAGAGCTCAGGATATGGTTCAGGGTTGCTCCTTGTGTGACTAAAATGCCCAGTGAAGTACCACCCATACTCCCATCTTGTCAAGTCCTCGGATGAGGGTGGAAATAGAGGCAAGGTGAAAGGAGGGAAGAAGAATGTCTGATGCTTCACTGATCAGCTCCTGTAGTCCAGGGATTGGCAGAAGTTTTCTAGAAAGAGCCAGGTAGTAGTTTAGGCTTTGTAGGCCATGCGGTCTCTGTTATAACTACTGAGCTCTGCCACCATAATGCGAGGACAGCCCAGTCCACATAAACAAACCAGCATGGCCATGTTCCAGTGAGACGTTATTTACAGAAACAGGTGGTGGGCTTTATTTGGCCCCTGGGGCACAACGTGTTGACCCCTGAACTAGATCAAAGAGAGGGGAGGTATCTGAGTTTTCAGATCATGTTCCTCTTTGTCCTCTGCCATGGAGATGACTTTCCCTGCCAAAGCAATGGAACCATCTAATTTTCACTCATCTGGAAACAGGAGAAATTCACAAGAGCATAGAATATAGAGCCTTTGCACTGATGTGTGAACAGAAGCTGAACCATCTTGTTCTCAACATAGAGAGCAACCACGTTTTGATTTTTTTTTTCAGTATTCATATACAGTAAAATTCACCCTTTTTAGTGTATATTTCTGTGAGTCTTGAAAAACATAGATAATCTTACAGTAAACACTATCTCAACCAAGGTACAAACTTATTTCTGTCCTCCAACACACTCCCATCCATGCCCCTCTGGTCTGTCCCTCCCCGCCCCATTCCTCAGCGTTACCCATTTAGTTTTGTCCTGAATTATAGTTGCTCTGTCTGAAATTTGCTTTCAGAACTAGTCCTTTCTGCTGCATATTGAGCTGTCTAATTCTTTCAGACTAACTGGACTTGGTTTGTTTTTCTTGATTTTTAGATAGTCAACCCCGTACCCTACTACCCCCAAACTGTACTGCCTGAGAAAGAGGAAAGTCACTTGATCATTTGGACATCTGGGACTTCCTGATGTCCTGATCTTTTATTGGAGAGTCCCTGGTAGCCAAGCGTTTTTGATCTGAGGACAGGTATCGGTTTGATCAGGCATAACAGAGGGCTAGCTTCTTAGCCACAGTGGAGCTTGTGGGTCACCACCCTCTCACCTGTTCTTATTTCATATTATACTGTCCTCTCTGCATAGGTATTTCAGAGCACACGTTTTTGCCTGAGCCCTGTGGCTTGTGGGGTCTTCGTTCCCTGACCAGAGGTTGAGCCCATGCCCCCTGTAGTGAGTGAGGAGTTCTAACCACTGCACCGCCAGGGAATCCCTGGGACGCGCGCGTTTTGGTGTGCCTGGGAACCTCTGGGTGCTGGCACAGAATTAGGGGCCCCAGGGTGGGTTCCACGCCTGTGCATGTGTGCCCCTTGGGACTGTTGGTTACTGGGTTTGGAGCATGCCATTCTGCAAGACCTGCTTGTCGTCGCATCAGCCCTCACCACTGGGGACGGCTGCCTGTGCGGAGAGCATGTGTGTGAGCCCCTCGCCTCTGCTCACCCGCACCATCAGATCACCTCCTGGGCGCTGCCCCCTCTGGTTGCACAGTATCTATCTAAATGATCATTTTCCTTCTTGTCTTTCCCTGTCACTTCTTGAAGTCTAGGGGAGGCTAAAGAGATTTATTGAGATTTAGATTTAATTTTTGTTTGTGAAGTTTAGACATCCAGTCTGATCATTGACAAGAACATGACCACATGGCAGGAATATGGTGCAGATTTCTGTACCAAAAGGTCAGGATGTCATCGTCCAAGCTACATGAGGGCCATGTGTTGTTTGGCGGACCCAGAGTCTGGGAAGTTGAAGATGAGCATTCTTTAAACCCTTCATCTAGTTGAAATGTACACTGTCCTTTTGGCCTTACACTGTGAGAGGTGTGCCTGGAATTAATTACCTCATCTTGTGTTTTCACATATCACGCTTACTTAGGTATCATCAGGTGTGTTTCATTGTTTATTTAAGTTGTCATCGGCTTTAGTTTGAGCTGTCTTTCATTTTTTGTGAAATGAGATGGGACATAAATAAATAGGACTAATAGATGAATGATCATTCCCTTACAAATGGGATCTCATAGTGGGAGAGGACCTTGGTTTCTCTGTTGTCACCAAGTTAGGAGCTGTAACAGTGAGTTGGAACCTTCAATAATTTTGTGTTTGTCTCCATTTTCTTTCAGAACAGCACATTAGTTCCAGAAAAAGGAAGGAAGTTCTGAAAGCTGAAGTGAATATTGGTAAAAGGAGTTAAAGACAGTTCACAATTTGAAAAGAGGAATGAAAAACCCTTTATTTAAAAAGAAGAAAGTCAGAATTGTGGTTATACTTTTGCTTGTTTTTCTATGTCCCCAGCACAGAGCGGATACCCAGATACTGTTTGTTTGGCACGGTGCCCTAGCAAGATGCTGTGAATATTCTAACTTACCCAGTTGTTGCATTGAAAAGTTGAAATCTATAATTAATCTGTTAATGGAATAAAGAGAATAACAGGAACGAAGACCTGAGAGATTTTTTTTTTTGGTACTTTGGGGCTGGTGGGGTCTCCGGGACACATGACATGAGGCCTTAGTTGGAAAGTATGCTTGATATGATGGCGGGGTGATTCTCCAGGACCGTTTACATTGGTCCTTCTCACTGTTTTCCTAACAGAATTGAGAATTGCCTAGAAAAGCCAGTATCCTTCCTTCATGTCCAGCACTGGGTACCAACTATGCCCTGTTGATATCTGAAGGCCCCTCTGCTTTTGCCTTCTGGAAAGTTTGGTCTTGGCATGCAGTGGGGAAGGGAAGGGATTATCTTAAAAGAAGGCTGAGCCCATGAGCCATCTTAGGTGCTGAGAGGGACACACGCATCTTGGAAATGCCCCGTTGGAGTTGTGCCCAGGACCACCGTTACACAGAGGTCATATGGTGTCACCTAGGAAAGTAATACTGAATTGTGTGTTCCAGGTGTGCAAACTTCAGTGTTGGTCAAGCCTACTTCACCACAGGGTGAAGGACTTTGGGCAAGTGGCTTAATGTCGCTGAGTTTCCTTTTAATTCCTTCTGTAAAAGATAATGACAGTGCCTTCTCACTTGACTGAAGGAGTTTCATGCATCTGAAATCTTGGCCTAGTGTTTGGCATCTATCCTAACTGGCCCATAGTTACACACTTGGACTCATTGCCTTTACTTCCATTAACTGAAAATAATAGGAGACTTCCCTGGTGGTCCAGTGGTTGGGACTCCGCACTCCCAGTAGAGGGGGCCCAGGTTCAATCCCTGGTCAGGGAACTAAGATCCCACATTACTGCATCTAAGCCCAGCACTGCAACTTCTGAGCCCGTGCATTGCAACTGGAGAAGTCTGCGAGCTGTAGCGAAGACTCAGCACAGCCTAAATAAATAAATGAACATAATAAAAGGTAACTTTTGAAATACAGGTAATCCTCAGAGTATTTACTGAGTTTGGGGTGGGGGGAGAAATGATTTTAATCAGGTTGCTTTCTAACTCAGCTGGACTTCACTACAGTGAGGAAATGGGGATTTTGATTGGGGAGAGAGGAAAGGCGATTTGGGAGCTCTGGGCTGGTTCTGAATGGGATTCTGCAGGGGAGAGGCCCATATGGGCAATTACAGGGCTGCCTCTAAGATGGAAAAGTGAGCTCACCTTTCCCAGAAGTTGTAAACTGGTGACCCGTGTTTTATTTGATCCATATTTTTTTTAAGTTGAGTAAGTTGCTAACATTCACAAATTGAGAAAATTCATATAAAAATCCAGGTCTAGGGTTTCGGATTCTCTGGAAAAAGAAAACCAGAGCTGGCAGCATTGGGCTTGCTTTCCGAATGGCAACAATCAGCTGAAGCTGAATAGCTCTTGCCTTTGAGTGGGGCCTATACTGTCCAGTCAGCCATAGTCCCACCCCACTCCAACGTGGCCCCAGATGGTGTCAGTTCCCCCTATCCTGGTCCTGTTCCTCTCACCAACTTCATGTGATTGGTACCTGCCTGGCTGCTGTAGACATATGACTTGGAGACCCACTCTGATGGGAAAAGGTCATGTTGGTTTCCCATACTGTTGTTCAGTCATTCAATTGTGTCCAACTCTTTGCGACCCCTTGGACTGCAGCACGCGAGGCTTCCATGTCCTTCACTATCTCCTGGAGTTTGCTTAAACTCATGTCCCTTGAATCAGTGATGCCATCCAACCATCTGCTGTCCCCTTCTCTTGCCCTCAATGTTTCCCAGCATCAGGATCTTATTCAAATGAGTCAGCTCTTCGCATCAGGTGGCCAAAGTATTAGAGCTTCAGCTTCAGCATCAGTCCTTTCAATGAATATTCAGGACTGATTTCCTTTAGGATGGACTGGTTGGATCTCCTTGCTGTCCAAGTGGTGTCTCCTAGTGTCCCTACTTAAAGATGCTGGGACCTCAACAGCTCAGAGTGGTGGCGAGAGCAGGAGAGCCCACCCACCTGGGAGTTTCACACTGAAACCAGACATGTACCGTTCTGGAAGACACTGAAGCCTGCTGGACAGAGGTGTAGAGCCAGGGCAGTAGGGCCTGAGAACAGAAATATAGTGGATGGAGGGGAGGAGGTAAGGAAACAGCTGTCTGGAAAAGGGGTGGCAGGGCTCAGGGGTGCCGTGACTGGCTCAGGGCTGGTCTGCAGACCCAGAGGAGCTGGAGAAGGAAGCACAGCAGAGGAACTTCCCTGGAGACTCAATGATGGGGAGCCTGCCAGCCAGTGCAGAGGACAATGGTTCTATCCCTGGCCCCACATGCGGCGGAGCAGTTAAGCTGGTGTACCACAGTTACTGAAGCTCACCGCCCCTAGAGCCTGTGCTCGGCAACAAGAGAAGCCCCCGCAATGAGAAATTTACGCACTGCAGCTAGGGAGTAGCCCCTGCTTGCTGCAACTAGAGAAAGCCTGTGTGCAGTAACAAACACCCCACGTAGCCATCAATAAATAACTTTAAAAAAAGCATGGCAGACATCTGCTACATGCCGGGTTCTGGGCTTGGTTGAGCTGTGGCAGTGAGCAAGATGGATGCCTTCTCTGCCCTCAGTTCACTTATATTCCGGAGGAGACAGGGGAAAGGGAGCAGAGTGAGCACAAATCTGAAAAGGAATTTTTATCTAGAGGGGTTGGAAAGGCTAAGCTGACAATGAAAGGAGCAGTCTTTGCAGAGCTGGGGAAGAACATTCTAGGCAGAGAAGCAACTTAGGCAAAGGCTCTGAAAGCAGGGCAGTGTAAACAGGGCAGAGTTAGCAAGGAAGAGAGTATCCTTGGAAGTTAGAACAAATACAGGGTTTTTTTTTAATTGATTTATTTTAATTTGAGGATAATTACTTTATAATATTTTGATGGTTTTTGCCGTACATTGACATGAATCAGCCACAGGTATACATGTGTTCCCCCATCCTGAGCCCCCCTCCCACCTCCCACCCCACCCCATCCCTCTGGGTTGTCCCAGAGCACCAGCTTTCAGCGCCCTGCTTCATGCACTGCACTGAAACTGGTCATCTGTTTTACGTATGGTAATATATGTGTTCCGATGCTACTCTCTCAAATCATCCTACACTCGCCTTCTCCCACAGAGTCCAAAAGGCTGTTCTTTACATCTGTGTCTCTTTTGAAAGTGAAGTGAAAGTGAAAGTCACTCAGTCGTATCCGACTCTTTTCAACCCTATGGACTATACAGTCCATGGAATTCTCCAGGCCAGAATATTGGAGTGGGTAACCTTTCCCTTCTCCAGGGGATCTTCCCAAGCCAGGGATCAAATCCAGGCCTCCCACATTGCAGGTGGGTTCTTTGTCGGCTGAGCCACATTTTACTGCCTTGCATATTGGTGAGGTGGATGAAATTGGAGCCTATTATACAGAGTGAAGTAAGTCAGAAAGAGAAACACAGATACTGTGTATTACAATATATATGAAATTTTTAAAAATTCATTTTTGATTGTGCTTGGTCTCTGTTGCTGCTTGCAGGCTTCCTCTAGTTGCAGGGAGTGGGGGCTACTCTTCCTTGCGGTGCACAGGCTTCTCTTGTGGAGCATGGTCTCTAGGTGCATGGGCTTCGGTAGTTTTGGTACGTGGGCTCTAGAGCTTGGGTTCAGTAGTTGTGGTGTATAAACTTAGTTGCTCCACACCATGTGGAATCTTCCTGGACTAGGGATCAAACCCGTATCCTAACCACTGGACCACCAGGGAAGTTCCAAATATAGCTTTTAAGGGCTGTGGTAAAGGGGATAGATTTTATTTCAGGACCAACTGCAAGTTTAGGGAACTTGATTTTATGCTGGGATGTAGCAGAGGCAGAAACACCTCTTATGCTCTCTTTCTGGTCCTACCCACTGGGAGAAGCCTCTTGAAGGCTGCAGGGGAGAGTCCACTTGCTTATAGCCTAAGGATGGATCTGGGCAGACTGCAGTTGAGAACTGGCCTAACTCTTTACGACTTATGACATACACCAGATGTGTTGCTTAAATTATTCACCACCGGCAAAGATTCTTTGCTTGATCAAACTTTAGCCAGGCTCCTGAAATTTCTCCTTCACTATCTGTGCCATTTTTTTTTTTTTAAGATCTAGTTTTAGCAAGAATCTTGCTAAGCAGTTTAACCAGACCCTCCCACCTCCATGTCTGATCATGCTGATATATGATCAGAATCCTCACCCTCCACCATCTCCCAAGGTGATGTCTCGTCTCCCTGGTCTGTCTTCAGCCAGAATACCCTTACCCCTGATGTATCCTCTTAGTAAGTTTCCACTCACTGGGCCCCACCCTGCTCTTTGGCTACCAGCTGCCAGTTGACCATACTGTATTCAGAACTGAGCTCAGTTCTGTATGAGGTTTCTTTCCCCTGATTACAATAGTCTTGAATAAAATCTGTTTTTACCACTTTAACTGCTGTGAGCTCTGTCTTTCAGTTGACATCACAGCAGTGCCTGGACCTGGCCTTCCAAGAGTAGTCAGCACAGCAGGTCAGTATCCAACTGACCTTTCTTTCTTCACCCCACTGGACCTTAGTTTCCCATCAGTAAAAATGGGATAACACCTCTGAGGGCTTTATAAGGATTAAATGAGGTCACATTCAAAACACACACCAGAGCGTCTGGCACTGACAGTGACTCAGAGGTTGCTCAGATTAGTATAGACATTACCCTTGTTATTTCCTGTGTGTTGTTAGCAGGGGTCCAGTAAGCAGTTTGTACTAGGTCCTACATTTCTTTTGTTTCTTTGTTGGTTGGTTGAAGTCACTTGCTTCCCCGGCATTTCCTGAGGGGCCTGGCATCTTGGAACAACACAAGGGCACTGTCCTGGAATCAGGAGTCAGTTCCCAGCTTTGACCCCTCCGAGCTGTTGGACCTGACCTCTTAACCTCTGCTCTGCCCTCCCCCTAGGGCTGTGGTAGGGAGCCTGTGAAGCAATGGATGAGAACTTCTTTGTGAGTTTTGATGCAAACATAAGGGATTATCATAAGAAACAAATCCTCCGTTGATCAGAGCATTCTGTAGGACCAAAAGAAAAAAATAATAATGATAAAAATAGCACTTCATCTTAAATGGAACCGTCAAGGGAACGGGAAGCTCCCAGCCTCTCTGTGGGCAGGGGTTAAGTCCTTTAAGCCGCCATTAGTGTTGTAGTTAATGGAGATAAAGCACAGGAATTGTGGCCATCACAGTCTTTTCCTTTATAACGGCATTCACCTCGAAACCCACAAGTAGCAGCGGGTCCCAGCGGTCATTATTTCATTTGAAAAACTAATTGGAAGTTGAGAGAGCCCTCCGCCTTTGCTTTTGTGGGGACAGGCGGAGGAAACAGATGAGCAGGTGGGTCTTGGGGATGGAGGGGGGTCGGGCTGGGCACCATTCAGTAGCCGCCTCCTTTGTTCTCCACCCCTGGCAGGTTCTTGGTGGCCGGCTCGGCTAGGTTGAGGCGGACTGCGGCCCCCAGAGGCCAGCCTTCTCCTCCCGAGGGGTCTTTTGTTCCCCATTGTGGGCATTGTCTGCACCTCGGAGCCACCCGGGCTCCCTGCGGAGCCGTTCCCACGCTTCACATTCTTTCTTGGAGGATAAACTGGGGAGAGCAGGTGGTCTGAACGCTGTGAAACCCCAAGCTGGCTTTACGGTCCCAGTGTGGGAGATGGACCCACGGGTCCAGCACTGCGTGTCTCAAGCCAGAAAAGGACAGAGAAGAGATTGCTCACCTCTGAGTCCCCATCAACTCTAAAATGCTGTGAATATTTTCATGCTTTTAATCCAAACACATCCCATCACCTAGACTTCACTTAAAATTTTATTATTATTATTATTTTTAAATTTTATTTTTATTTATTTATTTTTTTGGCCATGCGTGCCTCAGGGCATACAGAATCCTAGTTCCCCAACCAGAGATGGAATCTGTGGCCCCTGCAATGAAAGCACAGATTCTTTTTAAAAAAAAAATGTAGTTATTTAGTAACGCTGAGTCTTAGTTGCGGGATGTGGGGTCTTTAGTTGCACAGTGGCATGTGAACTCTTATTTGCGGCATGCCAGGATCTAGTTCCCTGATCAGGGATCAGACCTGGGCCCCCTGCATTGGAAGCATGGAGTCTTAGCCACTGGACCTCCAGGAAGTCCCAATTTCACCAATTCTTCGGAGAGGCGATGTGTGGGGATATACCCAGGTAAAATGTTTCATGAAAAGAAAAAGTTGGGTAATCACTGACAAAGGTAACTCTGGACAGTGACTTCAGCTCTCTGCTTCTCTTTATTTTAATAACAAAATTTCTCAAAAGAACTGACTCTGTCAGTGCCATCAAATAGAAATATAATGCAAGTCCCATTTGCTATTGTTAAGTTGTTAAGTCGTGTTCCACTCTCTGCAACCCCATGGACTGACTGCATGCAGCACACCAGGCTTCTAAGACCCATAGGTGATTTGAAATTGTCTAGTAACCACAATAAAAAGGTAAGAATGAAATAGGTGAAACCAAGTTTAATATATTTTATTTTAATCCAACTTATCAGATATGTTATTTTAATAGGTAATCAATATAAAAACATGACTGAGACATTTGGTATTCTTTTTCATACTGTCTTTGGAATCCATGTAAAGCACATCTCAGTTGATATTAGCCACATTTTGTGTTCAGCAGCCACATGTGTTCAGTCGTCATCATACTGTACAGCCAGGTCTCTACGCTCCGGATCTGATCCCTCTCCTACTATTTTCTCTTGAACCCACTAGAGTCAGAGTTTTGCCTCCACCATGCACCCAGTTTGTTCTTGCCAAGGTCATCATTGGCTTTCATGATCATTTTATGTTCAGTTCTCAACTGATGACCCATCAGCGGCATTTGGTACAGTCCATCACTCTCTTCTTGAACTGCTTTCTGGAATTTCTCTCTTGCAGTTTTTTTGCTTTTTCCTTCTCAGTCTCCTTTGCTCCTCATCTTTCCTCCAACCTTTAAATATGGAGTGCCCTGGGGTAGTCCTTGCAGTTCTGCTATTCTGTTCTTCTTTCTTGGTGATCTAACTCACTCTTCTGACTTTATTTTTTTATTTTTTTTTAGGCTGCACCACACAGCTTATGAGATCTTAGTTCCCCAACCAGGGATTGAACCTGGGGCCCCAGCAGTGAAAGCACTGAGCCCTAACCATTGGACTTACAGGGAACTCTCTTTTTTAAAAAAAAAAAAGTTATTTTTATTTTTTTAATTAAAAAGTTAATTTTTAAAAATTAAATTAAAAAATTTTTAAACACTTCAATTGTATTGAAGTGTAGTTGATTTACAATGTTGTGTTAATTTCTGCTATACAGCAAAGTGATTCAGTTATACATATATATAATTTTTCATATTATTTTCCTTTTTTTTTTAAACTTTTTATTTTGTATTGAATTGTAGTCAATTAACAGTGTTGTGATAGTTTCAGGTGAACTGCAAAGGGGCTCAGCCATACATGTATCCATTCTGCCCTAAACTCCCGATCCATCCAGGCTGCCACAATTTTGAACATAGTCCCATATGCTGTATAGTAGGTCCTTGTTAAAAAATTAAAAAAAATTTTTTTCTAATCTCCTGACTTTATAGACCATCTAAAAGGTGACAGCTATCCAGACCTCTCTCCTGGCTCTAGACCTGCACACCCAGGTGCCTACTCAGCCCCCCTATATGGGGCCTTTAAAGGGCATCTCAGACTCAACATGTCTAAACCCCAACTCCTAATTCTCCTCCCACCTCCAGTGCTCCTAAATGGCAATTCCATCCTTCCAGCTGCTCAGGCCCCAAACTTTGGAATTATTCTTAACTCCTCTCCAGTTCCCATACCTTATCCATCAGCAAAGGAGTTCTACCCTAAGAATGTATCCAGCATTTGACCCTTTCTCACAGTGGCAGTAAATGCAAGTCAGATCATGTCATTCTTCTGCTTAAGCTCTGCAGTGGCTCCCATCTCGCCGAGAGTGAGATCCTTTCAGTTCTTCCCATGGCCTCCCAGGACCCCCGTGAGCTGGCCTCCTGCTCCTTCTTGGCCTCCCTTCCTCCACTCACAGCCTCGCTGTGCCCTGGCTAGCCACACTGGCCTTCTGCGCCTCCTGCCTCTACACTCTTGTCTAGGGGCCCTTGTGTTGGGTTTTCACTGTTTTGGGAATGTTCCTCACCCAGTCATTCTCCACAAGGCCGACTCTTGAGGGACTTTACTCAAATGTCCCTCATTAGTGAGGCCTTCCCTAACCCCCCCACCACATCCTCGTTCATTATGGATAAATTATCCCCTGCAGTACTCCCATTGCCTTAATTTTTTGCTGTTTGCAGTCACCACCATCTTACAAATTCTATATTTACTTGTTTTTATTATTCTTTCCTCCATTAGAATATAAGCTCTATGCTAGACTTCCCTAGTGGTCCAGTGGTTAAGAATCCGCCTGGCAATGCAGGGGATTCAGGTTTGATCTCCGGTTGGGGAAGATACCACATGCCTCGGAGCAACTAAGCTCGTGTGGCCACAGCTACACAAGCCTGTGCCCCCTAGAGCCTGAGCTCTGTAACAGGAGAAGCCGCTGTGATGAGAGCCCACACGCCGAAACTAAAGTGGCCCCCGCTCTCAGCAACTAGAGAAAGACCACGCAGCAGTGAAGACCCAGCACAGCCAAAAAGAAAGAAAGAGCATAAGCTCTATGAGGTCAGGGGCTTTGCCTAGCACAGCACTTGGCACACAGTGGGATCTCTAGAAACGTTTGTTGAGTGAATAAATGGCATTGCTCATGGATGCATGAGTCACCAGTGGATGAAGGATGACTTGGACCCAGAGTAGACAAATATGGCTAGGAGCCCAGTTCTGGGTTAGGTCCCCCTACAGATGAATCCCAGCTCTCTCCTTATTGCCAGTGACTGTGGCAATCCACTTCACCCTCTGTGCCTCAGTTCCTCATCTGGGAAATGAGAACAACACCAGTACTTTCCGTTAGGCTGTGTAGGGAGTCTATGAGGTTCTACACGTGAAGCTGCCCGGTTGGCACTCTGAGTGTTTGGTAAATGTTAGCTTTTTTTTTTTTTCAATATCTTGTAATACCATTTTGGGAAATGGAGCTCTGTAAAACGTGAAAGATTAGGCTGAAGATAAAAGAAAATTGAAATGCACACCAGTCTGGGGGAATTTTATTATATTTATAAAGGAAAAAGTAGGTCAGAAATTAAAAAGGATTAACTGGATGCAGTTGTGTCTCAGCTGCAGGGAGCAGAAAATAGAGGCAGAATCTTCATCCTTGGGAATTCCTATGGCAGAAAGAAGGATAAAGCTAAGTCTGGGGGCACTGAAATCAAGGCAAGGTGGGACAGGACACTTGGAATTAGGGTGACAGTGACTCCAGTATTGAGACTGACCGACTCCCAAGATGACCTCAATCAGCCCCAGCTCTCCCAACCCACTCCCACTGAGAGCCTGGGAAGTCACTGGCCCTTGAAGAAGCCACTTCTAACTCCCAAACAGGGCTAGATGAGGTCATTCTTTCTAGCACACACATTCACCACATGCCTTACCATTTATCACAAATTAAATAATCCACTGTACAAGTACTTGCTTAATTTCTGTCTGCTTCAGTGTGTTATGAATTCCATGAGAGCAGAGACCAAGACTGGTCCGTCCATCCACGGCTGTCCCCTCAGCCCAGAACCTGGCCATCTTTGGATGATTTTTTGTTTTTTAAGATTTTTTTTATATGGACCATTTTATAAGTCTTTACTGAATTTGTTACAATATTGCTGCTGCTTTATGTTTTCATTTTCTGGCCACAAGGCATATGGAATCTTATTTCCCGGACCAGGAATTGAACCCATGCCCCTTGCTTTGGAAGGCGAAGTCTTAACCACTGGACCACCAAGGGAGTCCCTAGATGACTTTTAAGAGCTGGGAAGATGGAAAAATCTGAACTTGTTAACTCAGGGGACTTTTATGTGGACATAAAGCGTGGTGGGTGTGAAAGGATACTAACTGCCAAATCATTCTACTCTGCACTCTTAAGGTATTAATGTAAGAATTAATTTAGCAGTCTGTTTTCTCAGCATCCCTCCCACCCCCTCATGTCCTGGTATTTGCAACAGTTGCGCTGGAGGGGGAACAATGGCGGGAGCAACCTCTGGGGCCTTCCTGCTGCTCTAGGACTTTCAGCTCTGTGAAGCCTCTGGCTTTTAACCTGCAGGAACAAAGCCTGCATTCTTAGGACGTGGCCCTCCCCTGGAGCCTGGTGGGAGCCCTGAAGCAGGTGAATAGTGACCTAATCCCAGTGTGAGAGGTACTGGGCCGGACGGTGTGGTGGTGGGGAGGCATTATTCTTAGGGACATTTATTTTAAAAAAGAATTCTATCCTCCGGGACCTTGGTAGTCTTTGGAGCAAATCTGCTCCCTTCTCAGAGGAGGGAACAGAGATGACTTGTTGTGGGCAGAGACTTGGCTGCACAAGCAGACCTGGGGCTCAGGTGTCCATCCGGCCTCCGGGGTTGGTTCTCACCTCTGCTGTGCTCTGCCTGTCAGCCTGCTGCCGCTTGCATCTCCCCAGGACAATACTTGGCCAGATCTCTGAGCTCTCGGTGTCTAATCAGGCTGGGAAGAATGTGAGGGGGCACATGGAGAGCTCTGCTGGGAACTGGATTTTCTTAATAGTTTGGGCTGGAGGTGTCTGGCAGAGTCACGCTGGGGCACGTTTGTGCTCACAGTTCAAAAATCGGGCTCTAAAATACAGCACAGTTTCTGCAAATAGTCATGTCATTTTGAGGAAATGGAGTTTGTGTGAAGGGCTCTGGGGAAGAAAGGCAGGTCTAGGGCCTGCCTAGTCCCTAACTTGGGGCTAGCTACTGCCTCTTCTTTGTCTCAGTTTTCCTCCTCTGAAAAATGGGAAAACTCATTCCTGATCTTCCCTGACTCCTACTGGGATTGTGAGGGTCAGGGAACTGTCATTCCCATCTCTCCATCTCACAAGTGCTGCTCACAGTCCTCCACCCAAGGGTGTTGGGAGGGGCTGGCCTCCCTTTGATTTTACAGTTTGATGAACTTGGCAGGGGATCCAGGGCATGCATTTCAGACCAGGAGCATCAGAGTCCCCTGGGACGCTCATTCAAATTCAGATTCCAGGTCCCACTCTAGGACTCTTGAGTGAGGGACATTTCTGGACACAGACACTGAGGCTGGCCTCTGGCTACACTCTGGAGATACAGGAGTGGATGACGGCCAGTCTCCATCACACATGTCCCCCCTTCTTCTGGTTCTTGATGTAGGGAAGAAGGGACCTCATTCCCAGTTTGCTTGGAGAGGAGGAGAGTCCTTTTCCTGGCTACCCTTGGGGACAGAAGCCTCTGAGGTCCCTCAGTACACACATGTTCAGACCTTCACACTTGTGTACACACACATATTCCCACCTGCGCTCCTGCAGCAGGCTCACCAAGACGCTCTCCAATGCCATCTGCTGTTGGTCTGTCCACACGCCGTCCACCTGACGGCCAAGCCGGCCCTTTGCTCCTTGCTCCTGGTTTCTCTCTCTGTTTGATTAGACAAAGAGAAACAACAGAGGTTGTTGTTTGAGTAGGAAGTGGAGGAAGCCTGGGAAAGGTCAGGGCAAAGGGCGCAGAGCGTGATTGTATCCCTCAGCCTATTGGGATATCTGGCATAGACTCTTGCACCCAGCTGAATTAGACTCGGCAACGTTTAAGAAGACAGTGTGTATAGGAGTGAAGACTGTAGGTTGTGAAGCACACATTTGCAAAATATCTTCCCACAGATGACTTATTAAGTACAAAGGAGAAGATATTAACAGAGGAGAAACCTGGTAGGCGTCGTGTTACACAAGTGATCAAAGTTACCATCACCAATGGGACAAATGGACAACGTGCTCCTCCCGACAAGATGCGCTGAGTAGGACACAACATTACCTCTGTTGCATGATGTGAATCTACTCATGAGGAAGCACCTGGCAAGCCCAATATGAGGGACATTCTATGAAGAACTGTCCTTTACTAATAAAAAATGTCTGTGTCGTAAAGACTGAGGAACTGATCCAGACTAAAAGAAACTAAAGAGACATGACAACTAAATGCCACCTGTGGCTGGATTGAGTCCTGGATGAGGAAGATCAGTAATTGTTACAGGGACTTCCCTGGTGGTCCAGTGGTTAAGAATCCACCTTGCAATGTAGGCAACATGAGTTCAATCCCTGATGGGAGAACTAGGATCCTACATGCCGCAGAGCAACTAAGCCCGAGCCGCATAGTTACTAAGTCCGTGTGCCACAACCAGAGTCCATGCGGCACAATGAAAGATCCTGCATGCTACAGCTAAGACCTGATGCAGCCAAAATTATTTAAAAATTTTTATAAAGGACATTTTGGGACAACTAGTGAAATTTAAATATAGACTCTAAGTGATAATTATACTGTGATTATAGAAGAGAGTATCCTTTGATTAGCTATTAGGAGACACACAAAAGTACTTAAGGATAAAGGGTCATGATGACTATAATTCACTCTCAAATGGTTCACCAAAACAATAATACTCATAATCATACCTGAGTTTGTGTATGTATGTCTAGATCTGTATCTAGGCATAGATAAAGGGAGAGAGAGAGAGAGAGAGAGAGAGTGTGTGTGTGTGTGTACATGCTCAGTCTTGTCTGACTTTGCGACTCCATGGACTGTAGCCTACCAGGTTCCTCTGTCCATGGGATTTTCCAGGCAAGAACAATGGAGTGGGTTGCCATTTCCTCCTCCAGGGAATCTTCCTGACCCAGGGATCGAACCTTCGTCTTCTGCATTACAGGCAGATTCTTTACCACTGAGTCATCAGGGAAGCCCCAGATATAGAGTAAGCAAATATAGCAAAAAATATTAGGAATTATTGACTCTTAGGGCAAGGCATGTAAAAGCCCTTTGTACTATTTCGGCAACTTCTCTGTAAGTTTAGAATTTTTTCAAAATGAAAACTAAAACAAGTTCAGGCAGTGGAGTCAGGCTGATTGGATGCTAATTCTGCCACTCATTGGTGTGTGTCCTTTAGAAGCTATTAATGTAACTTCTGTATGACAGGGGTAAGAGGACATCCTTTGTAAAGTTGTTGGAAAGAGCACATAACAACCTGAGAATAATGGCTGACACTACCAAGGGCTTACTCTGCACTGTGTCAGGTATGTATTAATGAACCAGTGCAAAGTCTTTTTCTGGTAGAGTCAGTCAAGTGGTGACTGCTGTCAGTGTTATTACTAGAGCCCAACTCAGGGACAAGCACCTATGCTCAATGATCATTTATTAGTTAAGGGTAAGACAAGGTTCGACACTGGAGCCCTTCTGCCCTGGCAAGTCCAGAAGTGACAGATGCTGTGCAAGCGAAGAGACCAGACTTGGTCCCTCCAAATCATGATGCATTGGGGGTGCAGGGAGAAGTCACGAGAACGCTGGCTCACCCCTGCTGCCTGTTCATGATATCCTGGAGTAGCTTGCGGGCAGACAGCTGGCCCAGAACCTTCCGGTAGCTGTTAGTGAAGATGGCATCTGCGTACCGTGGGATCCTAGTAGAAGGAGTCAGAGGTCAAAGGGTGGGGCAGGAGGCCCAGGGGACTGTGCTCACTGGGTCTCTGTGAGGTCCTTCTGTCATACTTGCCCTGCTCATCCTCAGAGAGGGCTGGAACCAGGGCTGGGTGGTGACCTCTCTGGGGCTCAGTCTGCCTCCCTCCCAGAGATGAGCAGTGGAGGCTGCCTGAGGACCCAGCTGGGGACCAGCTCGATTCTGCATCCTTAAAGCGCCTCTCTTGCTTCTCTTGTCAGTACTGCTTACCTGAGAGGCTGGGAGGGCAGGGAACCATGGGAGCCGCTGCTGAGGGTGAGAGTCACGAGGAAGATCACCCAGAGCAGCATCCTTCACCCCTGTGCTGGCACCTGGGAAATGACAGACAGAAAGAAAAGTCAGGCATACCCATAGACACTGGGTGCCCTCTGCTAGCTCCGGCCCTCGGCCTGGCTCCGTGCAAGCTATGCTTCTTGTCTTTTGGAAGCTGTGGGGTAGGGAAGATGGAGCAGACTCGAAGTCTGACGCACCTGGGTTCAAGTTCTTTCTCTGCCAGACACGAACTCTGGCCTCATTTTCTCCATCTGTAAAATGCGCATGATAAGTGTACGCCACTGACCTCACAGGGTTGAACATACAATAAAAGACAATGGTGAAACTACCGCTTCCTGTAGGGCATTCTACGTGGGACTCAGGCCTCAGCAAGGAATAATATAATAATGTGTGCTAAATCGCTTCAGTCATGTCGGACGCTTTGTGACCCTATGTGTTGTAGCCCACCAGGCTCCTCTGTCCATGGGGATTCTTCATGCAAGAAGACTGGAGTTGGGGAGGAGCAAACAGCTTCTCATATTTGCCTGAGTCTCCCTCTGCCCCATTGTGGCACTGACAGTGTTGAGTGGGGCTAACAGCTCAGGCTCTGAGTCAGAAGAATCCGAGTTAACATCCAGGCTCAGTCATCACCAGGACTAGGGGCTGGTGTGCACCCCAGGACTAGGGGCTTCTCCTTTCCAGACCTCAGTTTCTCTATCCATAAAATGGACTCAATAACTGGGCCTATGGCAAAGGGTCGTGTGAGTATGAGCTGAGATGAGGCACCAGACGTGAGTGGTTGGCACACGGGGGATCCTTCACGCACTTCTGCTCTAAGGACCTGCTCAGGGGGCAGGCTGTCTTGGTTTTGTGTAGAGTTGGAGGGAAGGGAGAATGGCTGTGCCTCTTGCCCCAGATGTTTAGATTTTGCCTAAGAATTTTAGCCCTGGAAGAGACCAGGGACCTGGGGAGCCTGGAGGCAGAATCATCTCATAGATCACATAATTATCCTTAATGGGAGCCTGCTGACACCGTGCTGGGCAATTAGGAAGACGAGTCTACAGGGGACAGAGCCGCCTCTGCTAGGGCTGTGCTCTCTATCAACCCGGACTGCGGGGCAGAAACAGCTGGTCTCAGGGAAACGCGGTCACTTCAGGGTCGGGACTTCCCATCTCCCAGGAGCACCCCCCTCTCAGCAGGATGTCCCCCTAGGGGCATACGGACCCCTCCAGAGGCTCGGCCAGCCCCGGAAAGGGCAAGAGACACCTCATGGCCCACCTTCTTCCTGAACAGCTCCATTTCCGGTAGGTCCTGCTCAGAAGGGATTTCTGGCAGGCGGGGCCAGCCCGGGAGGAATCCACCTCCATCTCTAGGCTCACTTCTCCTCTCGGGGTATCACCCTCCTTCTCCCAGACACTGGGTCTGGACTAAACCCCGGAGGCCTTGAGATCCCAGGAAGTACCCCTGGGGATTGTTCAAAGCTGCCTGAGACCCTTGCACCCCCAGAGCTGGAGGAAGTGGCCATCTAGACCCCAGTCATCAACCCCCTCTTTGATGTGCCCCCCTTCACCCCCCTCCCCCCAACAGCCTGTGGTCCAGTTTCAGCCCAAACACTGAGTGGCAGGGAGCTCACTACCTCCAAGCCAGTGTGTCCTACTTCCAGGCAGCTTTTCCTGTTCGGAAGCTTTTCCCATTGTGTCAAGTCCTAGTCCCCTTATCCTGCAAATACCTGTTAAGCTTTTACCACTCTGGTAAGGATTGGGGCTAGAAAAGGTGAGACCGTGGCCGGCTGTGCCTCCCAGACCTTCTGTACCTTTAACCACATGATGAGCCCTTTAGATGCGTTTTGCGTGATTTAGACCTTGGCTCCCCACTTCAAGGATCTTTAGCCTTCTGTCCTCATCACACATTATCACACCCATCTTTCCTTTCCGAACTTGGTCCTCTCTTGAAGTCTTCTAAACAGGGAGATTTTTGGGGCAAAGGGGTCTCCTTGACATGACCACTACTTTTTCTGCCTCCCAGCTGCAGCCTGGGCTTTCTTGCCTTCTTTCCAACTGCTCTTTCAAGGACCTGAGCATATCCAGGCTCGCAGTCACCTCTCAGAAGCCCTTGGCATTCCACTCCCTTGAGGGCAAAGCCCAAACCCCTGTTTTAGGCATAAGCGCCATCCCAGCCTCCCCGGCCCTGGGCCCTTTTCCCAGGGCTGGCACAAGGGATTCCCAGCCCCTGGGACCCCTGGCCCTCACAGCCCACCCTCACACTCGCCTTTGGGAGCAGGTATCTAGAGTTCTAGTCTTAGACAGCCAACGAAATGAGCCCAGAGAGGAGAAGGGCCTTTTTTCCATGGTCCTCCATCAAATTAGTTGCAGAGTGGGCACTTCAGAATGGGCCTCCCGCTCTGCACGGTAGCCTCTCAGATACAATCCCCTATTCATAGGACTCCCTATTCATGGGGGCACTCCAGAATTCATCCCCTGCACATGGAAAAGAGTTCTGAGAAGAGCGAAAGCTTTTGTTCTTTGTTACTGAGTCTCTGGGGAGGAAACAAGGGGGCCAAACAGGAACACCGGCTTGTTTGGCATGTCCCCGTACACATCAGTGGTTTTAGGGAGCTGAAAATAACCTGATATTGGCAGACTTTGGGAGTCAAGTCACAGTGAATCCAGTAACCCCAGGTCATTCAGAGTGAGGCTGGGCAACCTCATTATCTGGTCAACCAAGCGGTACAACGTTTGCCGAAAACCACATATCCCAGGGATGGGTCAAAACACCATTGTAACCTCTGACCCGTGAGAAGCTAATCCATGGGGTTACAAAATCCCATTGGACAAAGAGGGAAAACAACAAGAATCATCTAGTTTCTGGTATGATGAGGATGGAGATTGTGCCGCTAGGAATAAAAAAGTGGTTATGGCAGACAGCTTCCACAGGGCCAGTCTAAGAAAGTAGATTTCACTGAATTAAATCAAGCATGAGTCCAAGAACACCATCAACACCTCCTGGATGGCTCTGAAGGCATTTTAGGATTTATCAGCTGTCATTATGTGTATCAGTTAGCTCTCCGCTGTGCTTACAAACCAACTCCGTGATTAGATATACTTGAGGTCGTCTGGACTCAGGATAAATGGGTACTTAATCTACATTAGTTGGCACATTTTGCCAGACTTCACGCCAGGAATGCTACAAGAATTCTGCAGACAAACCTTCAGTTAACAACAGAGCTAAGGTCTCAAGTACCAAACCAGCAAGGCCACTTTTGAACTTCTGAAAAAAAAAAAACCAAACAAACAATCTTTTACCTCTCCTAAATCTTCTGCTATGTAATTTAAGAACCCTAAAGCACTGATGTCCTGATTCACTTTATAAACTGTTTCACCACTAGTGTTCCAAGTCAAAGGAGATCTAAGTTATTCATGAAGAAGCATCTTGAATGCTCATTCAAAAGAACGACACCCTCACCTTCTTCCAGAGAGGGTTTGAGGCGGCTTGTGATAAAAGATACAAATACTTTAGGATCACTGAAGTCTGGGTTGAGAGACAAGTGTGGGGGTAATGGGGTACTCCAAGGGCAGATAATCGTGTCCAAAACCTAAAGTAAGGAGCGCAGCTACAATTGAGCAAGGAAGCAAAATGTTATCAATTTCCAGGCAATTACATTGAATCGGTTCTGAGTGATCGGTGCGAGGTACTGATTTGCACAGCCACTTGGTTCCTTTCTGAAGAAAGAAAGTGTCAGTCGCTCAGTCATGTCCAACTCTGTACAACCCCATGGACTGTAGCCTTCCAGGCTCCTCTGTCCATGGGGTTTTTCAAGTGAGAATACTGTAGTGGGTAGCCATTCCCTTCTCCAGGAGATCTTCCTGATCCAGGGATCAAACCTGGGTCTCCCACATTGCAGGCAGATTCTTTACCATCTGAACCACCAGGGAAGCCGTAGTCCACGGCAGAATCCCGTGCTTGACAGGAGAATCTTGCCAGGTGATGCATTTGTCCTGGCAGCCCACCTGGCACACCCTTGAAAAAGCACGGAGACCTCATCTGCCCCTGACAGACCACCTGGCACCTGTCTGCTGCCACTACCCCATGGACTGAGGTTCACGCATTCAAGACAACCTCAAAACGGTACCTACCGTCCAAAGCGTATTCCCGAGCCCCTAACAAGGGGCCTCAAATGTACTCACCAGTCCAGGGGCAGAGAGGATGGCAGTGTGCCTTTTGGACGTGGGGTCTCTGAGTTGGTGAGAAGCTCAGTACTCTCACCCCCATCCCGTCCAGCCCCCAGGGCTGCCCCCACCCCCCGCCCGCTCACCTCCGAGCTGGCAAGGTCTCCCTCTGCACTGAGAGGTTGTTCCAGCTCCACGGGCCTCAGCGTCTGCTCCAGCGGCTGCGTGGCGCTCCCTCCAATTATACCTTCATTTTCCTGGGCGTTGTTAGCGTCAGAGGATCAATTACTCACAAGTCCGCCAAAGGATCATTTTTAGCATCACATTGACAAACCCTAATAGGGGAGAGAGGTTTTGCCCCTTGCAAACGAAGATTCATATCAAACTTTATCTTGGAGAGAAAGGACAGAGCGAGAAGTTATAACATTATTCCCAGAGGAAGTGTCGAATACGGCTCATCTAATGATTGGAGTACTCCTAACAGTGAAACAGCCAAGGGTTCATTTACTCTCTGAGATTAAATGAGCCTTTTAAAAAGTTCACATTATCTTGTTTTGTCCGTATGCAACTTTATTTCACTTGAGGACAGTCAACTTTACGGAGGAAAGTGTTTTTTTCTCCCCTTAGTGAGGAGAGTCATTTGCCATTTCCCTTGTCGTCCAATTATCAAAATGTTCCTCTATTTGACTTAACCTCTTGCGGTCACAGGCCGGTGTAGGCAGCTGGCCTGGGGAGCATCGACGTCTTGTGTCGAGGCCTCCAAAGTCGATAGCTGCCTCCGAGGGGTGTGGAGTGAGAGGCAAGAAATGAGAAGACTTGGGAGAATTGTACTTCCGGATTTCTCTAGCCTAAAGCTAAAGAATCCTCAAGAA